AGATTTCACTTTTTCAGTCGAGATATCTACGATTAAAACGCTCTACTTGAACAAGTGGTAACATTCTCATCGGTGAAAACTATAGGAACCAAACCAGGTTGTTATGTTTACGTAAAAAAGATTGGTTTTTTGTACGTACTTGGACACGCGAACCTGAATTCTGTACAATACTTTGAAGTTAGTGCAGTAAAACAGACATGCAGCAACATGACACAACTCAATAGTCAACTACGAACTATCCAACTATCACTAGGACCCATAACGTCTTGAAAAATAACTCAGTAACTTACCTATAAGTTATATAACTTCCATTACTGAAAAAAGTGAATTAAAATGTACTGGATTGAAAACTTAATTAGTTGAACTGAATGAACTAAATTGTATATTTCACCTTATAAAACACAACTAGGCAGAAATACCCACTTCAAAAATCCTTGATGAATGCACAGTCAAATAAAATTTACAAATTTTGAGTCGTTCAATATTTTGAAGGACGAGTTTTATACATGAACAATTTAATGTCTATATAATTAATCCAAACACGATTTATAAAACGACAAAAGCACATGTACATAAACAGGTGAATGCTTGACTGTTCCAAATTTTTGATCAATCGGTAGTTATACTGCCTCTGCCTAAACGTGCGATGGTACCAAAAAATAATATACACACCACATTATTACGAAATGGAAGGACATTCAATTAGCCCTTTCGAAATAGTGTCTAATGCCCTACTTCGAAGACAATACAACCTTCAGGCGTGATATACTTTAAAAAAAACTGAATAATATTCAAGGCAACTCAATAGCTACCAACCATCTTTGTAGCATGAAACTCAACCAAATGACGGGCATTGCCGAAAGAGTGAATCAAAACATACAACTAACTGCAATCGATGAATAAAAATAATAAAGCAACCAGGCTATTAATCCATGATTTTTAGAACCAATTTCGTCTTTATCTCGACATTTACGACAAACCGAATAGTTTCTGGAGAACCAAGGAAGTATAGATCTGTATTAGTGCGAGAAAGAAAAGGTGGAGAAAAACGAATTAAAAGAAAGTGTGAGTCGACGACTTAGCAACACAATGTCCCTATTCTGAGGTAAAATGTTTTCCGTTTGAGGAAGTCTTGAGGAAGCCGCTATAGAACATTCAGATGTGGAGAAATTACGCGTTTTTCCCCGATATTTGCGCAAAAGATCCAACAACTTCGAGAAATACATGCTTCCAAACCTCAACATTCTACCGCTTTTTAAGGACATTTTACAATTAATTGCGATTAAGTTCCCAAAAGAAAAACATTAACATCTATAACATAGGTAACAGACAACAATTAACAATAACTTGAGCGTGATGTTAATACCATCTTATAATGAAAACAAAAAGTTGATGGTGTGAGGTTTCAAACGGTTTGAAACATATTTTAACCCGTAAACTCTTATACATTCGAACATTCGCTGATATATCATAACGACAATAACTAGTGTTCGAACGCGTCAAACAAATAGAGTGCATAAAGTTCCAAATAAAAATGTTATGAATCCGCTCAAAAGTAATCCGCTCTAGGCTTGTGATTTTTTAAGATTGTCTTTGCAAAGATTTGTTTTAAAAACAAGAGAGGTGGGTGTAGTTCACATCCTTAGTCGACGGTAACTTAAAAACTGATATCCCGATACCACTAGTCCCCCTATATGACGAGAAGGAATATGTTGAGTTTAGACAGCCTTCATGTGCACAGCAGCTTTATCATTCCAGAAATCAAATTAGTTGGGTATCTTTGAGCCCTTTCCAACTTTTTAATGTCATTTCTCGTCAGGAACTTTCTTCTCGTATTTAATAATCGGATTTAGGATAAAAATTGCTATACACAAAGTCAAAACATCTTTATATTAACATTGCTAAAGGTTTTATATATTAGTCTGAAGATTCATAAGGTTTTGGGAGATATCACAAAGATTGTACATTGCATTCAAGTCTTGGTTAACCATGACTCCAAATTCATCGTGTATCTGGACGACATATACCGCAACGTCACCCACCGTGTATGTATCTGTGCCTTGGCATTTCTAGGCATCACGATTCACTTTGAAGCATTTATCAGCAACTGCCACATTCTAAATCACTCACATTATTTCTGTAAATCATTTTTGAGCTCAAAATTGACCCATATATTTCTTGTCATTCCATATATTTCGATCTCCAAGACTATGAGGAAACCGACTCCAACAACATTTTGGGAGCCTTTACGTCTGTCCATACATTTCATAATAACATTCTTTTGTGAACGAACACTGTATGGTCAGTGAAACGTCAGTGGCCGCCGCGTCAATTTGTCCAGCATGTAGGTCAACGAGAGTCGAACCCTACCGATCTAAGACAAGTTTAAGGCCACACAACACACATCAATCAATCATATGTGACAGTTGTTTTCCCTTATTATTCCGTAACCTATAAATATTAATATTTGCTTACGTTTGTCGAGAGTATTTATTCCAGCCAGTGATTTGAGCAGCAGGTATGCATTATTATCACGATTACATAGTGTATGTTTAGCATGAACCACGAGATTTCACTCCACCCTAAACTATGATGTCAAATCATCTCAGTCTAACTCGAGTACATAGCAATCTTTAACACAGATGACATACACTGCTGATCTTAAATACCAAAATAATATTTTCCCGGATGGAATCGAAACTGGTATAATCAGAACAAATCAGATGAGTTTTTCTGAACAGATAATAAGAATCTAGTTTTAATAGTCTGGAGGTTGTAGAAAACAAATTTACATAGCATTTTGTTAGTGAATTTAAATGGAGGATATGTACATATTGCCTGTGTTCATCTGTTTCCGAGTAATTTCTTCGGTATAGTCATAATTTTAAGCCCTTGAAAAAATAAAACATTTTAAGCAATGCTACGCTGGCTGCTCGAATAGCTCTGCTCCACATTACTCTTGTCGCCGTTGTTCCCTGAAGCCCGGTCTAAGATGCAGCTTGAGCAAACTTTCTGTCAGTCAATGAAATCAAAAATGAACTGGAAAAAAGTGAATCGTTCTTAAATACTAATAGCGGTCGACTAAGTTTGATGTAAATCAATCAACCACAGCTACAAAACTCAGTTGAGTACACACAACAATTGTATTCAATGGATAAAAATTGTATTATGATCTCTAAAAGTTAATAACCATGCGGAACTGTGCCAATACCTTTACTTTTCATTCTCTCCATGGCAAACTTGTAAGCATTTCTTAAAACCATATCCCGATAATCAAATGTTATTTCTCAGTAACTAAAAGCAATTTATTTACATAGTGAAGTTCGAGATGCATGCTGTCTAGCCAGCAAAGCACTTCAACGTTGGTATTATTGATTAGAGAGCGTTTCACGACAACCGAAATCCTGAAGAGAAGGCTAAGAACACTTATACGTTTGTGAAATTAGAGGTCCTCAGGTGACCATTCGACGAAATGCTCTGCAACCAAAATTAAATGAATGTATATTTGGAGGTTATGTAGATGACATCACTGATTGCCTTCATACCAGATTGAGCCCCTTTTTTCTTAAAATCAGACTAATGCTATTAATAACACCTAGCGAACGGTTCCAAGAGTCAGGTAACAATAGTCAGTATTACGGAAATATCGTCCTTGTGATCTCCTCCGCAATCATTGGCGTTCCTTCATAACGACGTAAGCGAAAATGATGTACTGAAACGTAATCTTTATTAAAGTCGCTTTGGAATCTAGTAAGCTGACGAGTGATGATTTTATTTTGGTTGTTCGCAGTCAAAATGTCTCAGGAAGAGTAATCTCTCAGATAAAACACGACCTTTTAGCTTTGACACCATGTATTTATCAAATCTAAGATGTTCTACTGAACTTTGTAGAGCAAGCAATTATGTAATCCTGTTTTTGGCATTGATGTGAGTTTATTTTAGTACACAAGGAGAACAGATTTGAACGCAATATATCAAATGTAGCATTACCTCACATATTAACTTTATATGAATTTAAATAATGAAATATAATACTCTCCTATGTCTGAGTATTCTTTGTGTCGAAAAAATTCATGTAGCCTATGAATGCGACGGTTTACACAACTACTTGCGATCCAAAATCTTCTTTAAAGTTGTGCAGATGACAATGACCTTAAATTTAATACTTCGAAATGTCGAGTACTCCATCTGAGACATGTTACAGGCTACAAATAAAACTTAGCTAACTCACCTCTAAAGGCATCTCCCGCTGAAAGAGACCTAGGGAAGTGGTACCCTACGATCTGAAGCCTTACGCTAACTGCGACAAAAGTGCTTCCCGAGCAAACATTGAGCTGTTAAAGTTGGAGCACATTTTCGGCCAGCTCGACCAAATAACTTTACGCATAATCTTCAACAGACTTATTCGACTCCATTAAGAGTACGAAAACACAGTAGTTCTTTACACACACCTCAAAATGATATGAACAATCTGAGACGTATCCAACAGCGAAACACGAGAGCAGTTTGAGGACCGAAAATCAAGTTTTATGAAGAGCGCCTCCAGTCAAAAAACCTTTATTCAATGAAGTACAGGAGTTCTAGAAGTGACATCCTTATTACTTGTGTCATCCTCAATACTCTGTGCATACCATCAATTAACTACTTAAACTTAGTCCAACAAAAACCTCAGGGGTAACATCAAGAATCTGGAGACTCAACACAGCAAGATGGACTGTAGTCAAGCATGCTACCCCTTAAGAGAGATCAAATGCTGTAAATAACTGCCATCTGAGCCAGTCCAACCGACGTGCAAGGAGTTGTTTGACAGACAGCTCGACATATTCTTAAGGACAAGACAGTATCTTACTATGATATACCAAGTTTTTTTGCTTTTCCTCTTTTATCGTTGATATACCCAGATTACTACATGGAGGCATGTGTGACTCACTGCTAATAGATACGATAGCCCGTCAAGCGGAAGCTTCTTCTATTCTGTCCAGACCCATTTAACTCTTCGCACCTTTAGCGGCGGGATGCTTGGATTGAAACGATACTTGAAGGTTATATCATTTTCAGTATTCTGCTACATTATTCTAGTCGTAGACATGTAGAATATTATATTTCCAAGTAACTCAATATATAGGAACTTTTTTATACTTCACTAGGCGTTTTTATCGCCCTAAATATTGACAACTTATAGATCTTTGACTTTATTAATAGCTTTATTCAATTATATTTGTTTATTTCAGCATGAAATTTTCTGCACTAACACATGAAAGTTTGCACATACATGTAGATGCGACAAAGTTTGATCCTATTTAATAGTACCTTGACTTCTCAATAAGTAGGTGTTTCCCAATGGGGAAATATCTCCCTATTTTGGGAAATTCCCGAAAGTTTTGGGGAATTCCCCAATACTTCTCTAAAATTTTGTGGATTTCCCCACACTTGTGGGGAAACTGCCTATTGTCATTGGCCTTTTGGAAATCACAAAATCGGGAGGTTGGTTTAATATCGAATGACTGTTAATTACAAATAATGAAGGATGATTCCCATTAATTTAATGAAACTCGATTCTCATAGGCAGTATTTATCGTTGGTTTGTTTTACATTTTGCGTTTCTAACTTCGAGAGTGATTTGATAACCTCTACTCGTACGTATCCCTTTACCCAGACGTCGATAAACCAAAGGTACAGGTTTGTCATAATAAGAGTCTGACACGTGATCAGAAATTATACTTGAACAAACGAAGTTTGAATCCGAACGCCCCTCATAAGCAAATCAACAACTTAATCAGTTAATCAATATTCTTAATCACTCATGGTGCATACAACATAAACGTTCAATACTTTATATTTCATCACAGTACACTACGCGAAGCTGTTACATTATGTTTCTTGTTAAACACATTATCTGCACTATTTGTGATTACTTTAATGTAAATTGTCCGTCCATCAAGTATGCTTTGTTTCCGTTCGAAAATCTTGATGTATAGAATAGTGTATCTATCTTATCTTGCTAACACATACACAGCCCTGAACGTTATGTAAATTTCCGAGTAGTCAAAGCAGGGTCCAGAAATACAGGCAACACCTAGCCCCATATTTTGGTTATTTGATTCGACATACTCGTTTTTTACTCGAGATTGTTGACTGTGTCATTTATTTATTTAAGATAATCATCAGACACCTGACAACAAATCAATACTTCACTTTCGACGGTAGATTGAAACTGGTTAAATTATTTAACCGCGAGTGTAAAGTAATCATATTTCCTAGATAGCCACGCCCTTTCCTTTTTTAACACCGTCTCGTTAAGTGCTGGCGGTTGGTATATCGTACGGTATATTTAGTCAAATAACATTCACTTATATCAAAATACTTGAAAATCAAGCAAAACAAATTAAAAGTCATGTCAATTTTATATAATTGTGTGATGGAGTTTTTTAGGCCTCATAACTTAAAATCTGATTACAAAAAGTCGTCGTATCATCATTTTATGTGTCACAGTATTCTCACCTAACTAATCCCGAAATGGATTAAACTTTTGAGTTCACTATATTCCCACTTATCTGGTAGATTATATAGATCAATTATTGTTTTATGAAAGCTAAGCATGAACAAAATATGTCCTATAGTCTTAATAGTTTTGGAATCCCACCTTTCAAATCACCATAGCCAAAATAAGCTGATAGAAGTAAACCATATCAATGGCCTAAGGAATTTTATATGCCCTTGAGTAACATATCAGCTGATCGGAATAGTTTATTGATATGAGTTAATTTACTATCTTAAAAAATATAATTACAAGGGATAAGTTTTGTGTATTTTTACAGTAAACTGAAGAGGTTTAAGATTTGGAGTCTGGGTTGTAAATTAAGAATTAGGTTTTAGAGTTAAGAATTACTGGAAAGGGATCAGAAAAGCACTAACTTCAACGTGTCAGGAGGTTCTGGGTCACAAGATGCAGCATCATTAGAAATGGACCTCCATCGAAATCCTAGGAAAGATTGTAGAAAAGAAGAACAAGGTGACAGCGATTAACAACAGTCAGACAAAAGCAGAGAAATTCAAGACACAAGCTGAGTACACAAAAGCAAACAAGCAAGTGAAGAATGGTATTAGAGTTGACAAACGGAAATCTGTGCAATGGCAGCGGGAAAAGCTGCAAGAGAAGGAAATATGAAGCAACTACATGACACAACGAAAAAAATGGCAGGGAAGTGTAGTAAGCCAGAGACCGGTCAAGGACAAGGGAGGAAAAACAAGCACGAAGATTTCAGAACAAAAGAACAGATGGGTAAAATACTTTGAGGAACTCTCGAATAGACCGGCTCCAATGAACCCACAGGACATCAAAGCCTTATACCCCCTACGCGCGTCAGACTCACAGTCAATGGCTCTATTAACTGACTTTATACTTTGTTGTTGAAATCACGGTGGAACGAATTTGTCTAGGTACGGGAACATCCTTGAATTGCTTTTTTACGGTCATGAATACTAAAAAAATCATTCTTCATTCATCGGCTTTTTATTTCGTAAAATAACCGTTACTTTTCTCTGGTTGGTATTTATTACGTACTTACTTACTTACTTACGCCTGTTACTCCTCGTGAAGGAGCATAGGCCACTCACCAGCATTCTCCATCCAACCCTGTCCTGGGCAATCCTTTCCAGCTCCGTCCAGTTGTAATTCATCCTTTTCATATCTGCTTCTATTATCCGACGCAATGTGTTCTTTGGCCTTCCTCTTTTTCGCTTCCCTTCAGGATTCCAAGTTAGGGCTTGCCTCGTGATGCAGTTTGACGATTTGCGTAATGTATGTCCTATCCATTTCCATCGTCTTTTCCTAATTTCTTCTTCAGCTGGAAGTTGGTTTGTTCTCTCCCACAGAAGGCTATTGCTGATGGTATCCGGCCAATGGATGTTGAGTATCTTGCGTAGACAGCTATTTATAAATACTTGTACTTTCTTGATTGTGGTTGTTGTAGTTCTCCAAGTTTCAGCTCCATACAGTAGAACTGCCTTGACGTTCGTATTGAAGATTCTCACTTTGATATTGGTTGAAAGTTGTTTTGAGTTCCATATGTTCTTCAATTGTAGGAATGCGACCCTTGCTTTGCCGATCCTCGCCTTTACGTCTGCATCTGAACCTCCTTGTTCATCGATGATGCTTCCCAGGTATGTGAAGGACTCTACATCTTCCAGAGTTTCGCCATCAAGAGTGATTGGATTGCTGTTCTCCGCCTTGAATTTGAGGACCTTGGTTTTCCCTTTGTGTATGCTGAGGCCTACTGATGCAGAGACTGCTGCTACACTGGCTGTCTTCATCTGCATCTGTTCGTGTGTACGTGATAGGAGGGCTAGGTCGTCTGCGAAGTCCAAATCGTCTAATTGATTCTGAGCTGTCCATTGTATTCCGTGTTTTCCTTCAGATGTTGAGGTCTTCATAATCCAGTCGACCACCAGAAGAAAGAGGAAGGGAGAGAGTAAACAGCCTTGTCTGACTCCAGTCCTTACTTGGAATGCATCTGTCAGCTGTCCTCCATGCACTACTTTGCACTGTAGTCCGTCGTATGAGTTCCGGATAATGTTGACAATCTTCTCAGGAACTCCGTAGTGTCGAAGAAGTTTCCATAATGTCCTCCTATCTACACTGTCGAATGCCTTTTCATAATCAATGAAGTTGATGTATAGTGATGAGTTCCACTCAACTGATTGTTCGACGATGATCCGTAGTGTTGCAATTTGGTCTGTGCACGACCGATCCTTACGGAATCCAGCTTGTTGATCTCGAAGTTGGGCGTCTACTGCATCCTTCATCCGGTTCAGCAACACTCTGTTGAAGACTTTCCCTGGTATTGACAGTAGTGTAATGCCTCTGTAGTTTTCACATTTGCTCAGATCTCCTTTCTTTGGAATCTTGACGAGGTGTCCTTCTTTCCAGTCCATTGGCACTTGTTCCTCCTCCCAAATCTTTTTGAATAGAAGGTATAGCATGCTTGTGGTTGCTTCGATGTCTGATTTCAGTGCTTCAGCTGGTATGTTGTCGGGTCCTGCTGCTTTCCCGTTCTTGATTTGTCTGACGGCCATTCTAATTTCTTCCGTCGTTGGTGGGTTGACATCTATAGGAAGATCTATGTGTGCTGCTTCGATGTCCGGTGGATTCATTGGAGCCGGCCTATTCAGGAGTTCCTCGAAGTATTCTACCCATCTGTTACGCTGTTGTTGAATTTCGGTGATTGGCTTGCCTTCTTTGTCTTTGACCGGCCTCTCTGGTTTACTGTATTTCCCTGCTAGTTTCTTCGTTGTATCGTGAAGCTGTTTCATATTTCCTTCTCTAGCAGCTTTTTCTGCCGTCGTTGCTAGTTCTTCCACGTATTTCTTCTTGTCGGCTCTAATGCTCCTCTTCACTTGTTTGTTTGCTTCTATGTATTCAGCTTGTGCTTGGACTTTCTCTGCTCGTGTTCGGCTGTTGTTAATTGCTGCCTTCTTGTTCTTCCTTTCTTTGATCTTGTCCAGTGTTTCTATAGAGATCCATTCCTTATGATGGTGTTTCTTTAGGCCCAGAACCTCTTGACACGTTGAAGTTAATGCTTCCTTGATGCCTTTCCAGTTGTCCTCCATAGTAGTTTCTTCTTCATTCAGTAGATCTTGTAAGGCTTGGAACCTGTTGTTGAGAGCTATCTTGAATTCATTGAGTTTGTCAGTATCTCGAAGGAAGGCTGTATTGAACCTTTGTAGTGCTGTTTGTCCACTTGTCCAGTTCTTTTTCAGCTTCAGTTTTAAATTGGCTACAACTAGGTGGTGATCTGAAGCTACGTCAGCACCTCTCCTGGTTCTCACATCTTCCATTGTCCTTCGGAATTTTTTGTTGATGCAAATATGATCGATTTGGTTCTCTGTAGTGTGGTCCGGTGAGATCCATGTAGCCTTGTGTATACGCTTGTGTGGAAATATTGTGCCTCCTATGACTAATTTGTTGAATGCACACAAATTTGCAAATCTTTCTCCATTTTCGTTTCTTTCTCCCAGTCCATGTCGTCCCATAATATCTTCATATCCAGTGTTGTCTATTCCGACTTTGGCATTTAGATCTCCCATCAGAATAGTTAGGTCCTTTCTTCGGCATTTCTCAATGATTGACTGCAGCCGCTCGTAGAACTGATCTTTAATGTCGTCGTTGCTATCATTGGTGGGTGCATAACATTGGATAATATTCATTAAGATCCCCTCCTTCTTTGTTTTGAATGATGCTTTGATGATTCTGGATCCGTGAGACTCCCATCCTACAAGTGCATTTCGTGCTACTTTGGACAGCATAAGAGCGACTCCCTGAGTGTGTGGAGCATTTTCCTCTTCGTGACCGGAGTATAGCAGCATCTCTCCCGTAGCTAGCCTTTTCTGTCCAGCTTGGGTCCAGTGGGTTTCGCTGATTCCCAGTACTGCTAAGTTGTATCTCCTCATTTCCATTGCTATTTGACTGGTCTTCCCGGTTTCCCACATTGTTCGAACGTTCCATGTACCTATAAAAATTTTTGCTCTAGTTGTTAGAAGGGGCATCGGCCTCGTGGCTTCCGAAGGAACTCGGCTTTCACCATGAAGCGTCATAATTCTTCTAACTGAAGACCTTCTAACTCCCAGGGCAGAGTTTAAATGGTTTGGATTATTTTTTCTGGTAAGCGTTTTTTTAGCGAGTTAGTTTTCTACGGGATGGGGACGCTAACCCCATGCCCAACCCTCCTCCTTTATCCGGGCTTGGGACCGGCAGTAACCCTGTTAGAGCTACAGGCGGAGTTGGTTGGTATTTATAGGTCCTAACAAAGTTCTGAAAATTGAATGTGAACTAAATAAATGACTTGCCATTATCTGTTAGTATTAGTATGATGGAATTTGACCGTAGAGCCCGAGTATTTAAGTTATGACGGTAAAAGCTTAAACTGATTTTTCTCTGACATTGATCGCTTGTTAATCATCAGTCAGATGTAAACTTCCCAAAATATTTTTTGTCCACTGATCTTATTATTAATTCATATAACAGTTTGGGAATTCAAAAGGTAATTAATACATTCATACAGAACTCTTCTCTATTCATTTACCCCACTCCATTTGCTCAATTTCTATTTCTAATAACCAAAATTATTCAAGAAAGAGGTAATTTTTGACTTTTGTCTGATTTGTTGTTTTTCTGCTATCTCAGTTCACTGACTTTTGTCATAACTAATTATTTTTTATCATGTTTTACTTATCCAGTTATTCAACCAATGACGTTCCTCAACTATCATAAATTCCTAACTACGAGTTTCCGTGGTTACAGTGTCAAGAAACTGCTTCCGAAGTACGATGTAATAATTGTCGGTGGTGGGATGGTTGGATTTGGTTTGGCTGCCGTTGCGGGTAAATCAAGGCATTCCGTTATTTATCTTGTTTATTTAATATAGCGGCTTCCAAATCTCTCGGTAAGAAAAGCATTTTATTGCTGGAAAGTTCTGGTAAAAAAAAGTATCAACGTAAAGAAGAATATGAAAATCGTGTTGTTGCTCTTAACGACCTTTCCGTAAACATGCTGAAAGGTACATTTTCTATACAAGCTTCAGGATTCGTGTAATCGTACTCCTTTTAGATATTGGTGTTTGGGAATTTATTCAATCATTCCGTTCTCAGCCTGTAAATAAAATGAAAGTATGTGAAATATCACAGTTTTCTACCATAATATGTTTCGGCTCTTGAACGGTTTTATTTTATCAGACTAAGTGAGATTTATAAGGGATAAAATATACACTTCAAATCATTCTCTTCCTAAATATTCGTGGTGATGACAAGAATCTAATTCTAAATTCAGAATCTTCCACACCAGTCACGTACACAGTTTTTTCACACAAAAAAGACGAATTTGAAGCCCAACGTCTGGTCAACACTGTGAGCTTAAAAAAGGAGGTTCATGGATTTACTTAGCATTCGAGTGTTTAAGTCTAAATGAGGATCACTTTAAATAAATTAGCAAAGTTTTCTTTTTCACACGTGGTATATGTAGTTACAGTGTAGTGGATTCTACTCATAAAATTGTTTGTGAGTTGTATGTAGCGGAACTTGGCTTTGACGTTGAAACAGTCGTCAGATGGGGAGATTTTCAGCGCAGCTAAAGCACGGCTTAGGCAGACCAGACGAGGAAACAGTTCAAATTGCGGAACTCACTGAAAGATAAAAATGGATGATCGAAGGTCATGTATACGTATTATTTAAATTCTTTATAACTTCTCACAATAAATATAGATTCCCTCTGTCTATTGCCTTCTTCTACTATAGCATCTCCAACATCCTTGGTAAAATTCATTTGAATATTAAGAAACAAATGACTATTTAAATGTCATCCCATGTGTCTACTACAGAGTGGTCTATAAAACTCATGAGTGTTAAAATTTTCATCTCGTCTGGATCTGATAGATAATCTGAATTTGATCGATTCGAGATCATATACTTTCAGTCCAATTAAAAGTGATTGTGTGACTTCGTGCTTAGGGCTTTCGACTGTTAGCTACCGAGACGTAGATTCAGACGCCTCTCCACCTGCTTGGGTTTGGGCAACTAGTCCTAACGATTATTGTGTGACTCAAGGCTAAATAATCGAGTATGTATCTCGCAAATGAGTTAACAAAAATATACAAAAGTTTTATTAAAGCATGATAATTCGGTAAAGTTAGGTAAATCATGGCTGACTTCCAAGAGCTCTAGAGACATAAACATAAGGAATGCTATCTGTAAGAGCTAATAGAATCAGTGATATGCAAATTATAGGATACTCTTTTATTCAAGTTTTGCATGAAGATCCAAAAAGAAATCCCTCAACTCCAGTGATACCAAATATGAGATATGCTCCCTAAAGTCTCTTACTATCTATCAGAGTTATTTTACAGACCTTAACTAGGTACCCAACGCATCTACATGGATTAGGCGGACGTTCAGTGGCCTTATTATTTGATGTTGTCTTCTGTTAGCAGTGCTCATCCTGAGTCTGCACCACCAATTACCAAACACAAACTTGAAATAAACACTTAATATTTCAAACTGTTGGGCCTTATCTTCTAAACGACCAAATTTCATCAGCCCCGTTTTTTAGGAAGATGATTAGACTTTGTTCTTATCATGTCTTTATATTATTAGACTAATTTGAACAGTTTTGACTTAACATACGGAATCTATGTGGCTTCATCAATTTCTATCATGAGCTATCTTGCTTGCCATTATAAAAGACCGAAATTCACATAATTTACATAATCTATCAGCTCTTATTATTAAGTTTGTCTCGTTTTAGATGATTGATTAGCGTATACTTATTTTACTGTATTCATTTTGTACATACGTTTAGGTATGGGAAACAAAGTCAAACCTTTACTTAACGTTTCAACGCAATCCCTTGGCATATATAGTAGAAAATGATTTAGTTATTGAATCACTTCGTAATTATTTGGAATCTAATAATAATTCTTCAAATGTGACAATACTATATGAAACACAAGCTGAAAACATTCAGCTGCCTTCTTCAGATCATCCAGAACATTTAGTTCGTGTAGACGTTCAACAAAGGACACAGGATAAACGGGAAACTGTTGAAACAGACCTACTTGTATGTTGATTATTCATTGATTTTTTAGAGGAACAGTATTATTTGTGTATGAAATTAATATCAAATTTAGTACTTTAAATAAATCTCTCTTAATTCCTAATTATACTTATGGGACAAGAATAAATATTCCTAATGTGCCTACTAACTATAAAAACCTAACCATTCGAAGATAAACAACAAGAATACTTCAAAATCTTTTCCAGCGTGATTCTGTATTAACTAGTATTGATTGTTAGTTCAGATGGTGATTTGGTACTTGTTTCTCGTTACCAAGACACTTCAGTAGGTGCGGATTCACAAATTATTTTCATTCCCTATGTTATCTGAACCTAACCTTGGTGTCGGTCACTTATTGGTTTCACTCCATGCGAGTACTTTGAAAGCTTGTTACCAAATTCGTATAATAAATACATCTGCTTTTAATGACCAAGTCTACCAGATGTAATGTGCTACAGCGGACTGCTGTTCAGTATGATAGTAATTTGAATATTTTTTAGAAGTCTATCCATCCAGATGTTCTGTGTAGTGTAAGAAACGCCAAATAACCATATGACATCCAAAAGACAACTAGTTGACCAGCCAATCGAGGCTCCTATAATCTGCTCAAAATATAACTATATACTTGAATGACTACTCAAGTAAAATCTGAAGGTTTTTTTGAATAATATTACTAAACAAGAAAATAATACTCGACTTATGCATAAGTTGATGCGTCACTTTTAACCAATGTGGATTCGTACCTGGTATCAACATTGTTGTATTATACATGTCTAAAACAGATATCAGTGAATCCTAAAAGTAATCATTTATTTAATTAAATCAGTCAGTCAGCTACAACGTAGGGCCACGCACATATGTGCATTGGTCCAAGCTGCCATACCTCACTAGCACAACAAGATCAACACTGAATTCATAGAAGTAGTTAATTCAGTGGTGGTAATATATAAAAGAAAGATTGCAATAAGGATATAATACAGGAAGAAAGAATCAGTTCGTAGAGAGAAAGATATGAAGCGATTTTAATCTCATAGTTTAAGGGAAGACAGAGAGTGTATACACCTACGCTATTGTGATCGATTCTGAGAAATATCACCTAGAGTCTCCAACCACTGGTTACGATAGTCACGCGGACCCCAACCAAGTAGTCTGCATCTACCAACATGGCACAGACTGGAAGTTAGTGTCCTCAAACACGGATGCCACGTTTTTGGTTTTGCCCTCCCTAACTTTCTTCCAACCACCTCTAACAATAGTCAGCATTGGGGGTCGTAGTAATCGGTGTTCAGGCATACGCAACATGTGGCCTAACCATCTCAGTCGATGAAGATTGTTTTGTTCAAATCCAGAAATCGGTATTATTTCTGAAATATAACTAAAATAAATTCATGTTTTCTCTTATATTAAGTGTTTTTGGTAGTTGACCTTAATAAATGCAACTTCTATTGACACAAGAAATTCACATTTAAAAGTGTTCATACTTCTTCAATTTAATATCAAATCCCTTCGGTAGAATATTTCAGGAAATGGTTACGTAATTGCCCATACAAACTTAAACACTTGCAAATTATATGTTTGATTTCTAATGAGTTCAACATTTTGTTATGAGCACTAACCTGCCAAATAGAAGATTCATTGTTCATAAACACAACTCTTTCTAAAATATAAATCATAACCTTGGTTCGTAATTTGAATTTCATGCAGTAATCTACATCTTGAAATCTTTCGTTATTATAGGAACCTGAATTCAAAATAAAAAGTTCTATGTTTGAAGTCCACTTTACAAAATTTATTTTATCATCCGACTAGTTCTACCGTTTGTCAATAATTTTCATGGTAATTTATAGTATTGATTTGTAGGCGGTTTCAGAGTTCATATGTTTTCATTTTTTGATAATTTATATTCTGAAAAATAATAATTACAGAAATCACTCCAGTTTACATGCATGATCGATTGGATATAAACAGTAACGTTAGACGTGCAGAACAAACATGTGATAAAAGAAAGTTTTAAGTATACTAGTTCAGTAGTTGTTTAAGTAGTACATATATTACAGCGATCCAATGCATCAGCCGGGAATTTTTAATATTTCTTAAATGGACAGCCTGTTGATTTATGAACGGTGTAATTAAGGTCAATTCGTGTGCCAGATCGAAATAATGATAATTATCTACAACTAGAGAAATTAAAACGAAAACAGAGAGCACGGAACAACAAAAAAGTAATTACCAAAATATATCAATCAGGTCTACCTAAATGCGTGTGTCATGTGACACAGTGATATACTGTTCATGTTATTCAAATTAGTTAAACTTGCTAGGGACGGTGTTAACATATTGACAGCAAGTGGGTGGTTTTACTAAGGGAATTCACTAATAAAGATGGCTAAACATTTAAGGTTCCTAAAATATCACTTGTGGAATGAGATACACTTAAAGGCGCTAGACCATTCAATGCATTTTCAGAGGAGCAGTATGCATCGATGCAGCGAACAAATAATGGGAGTGATTTTATCGTGCGGATAGATTGTGGTAGGTTATTCCAGAGTCTAGAAAATTTACAGGTGAAGTAATTCATATAAAGAGATGATTTAGAATGAGTTTGTTTCACTAGTGCCAAGGAATTACGGATGTCATAATGAGAGGTTTCTGCATATTGAATCGCGTGATCGGATGTAAACGATAGTTTATGAAGTAGTTTGAAGAAAAAGATAAGATTTAGTTTGAGTCTCCTCCTCCATAAAGGGTCTAGCCCAAGTTTATTACATCTAGAATTATAAGTTAAGGTACAATCAGCTCCAAGAATACGAAGTGTAAATCGTCTCTGTACTGATTCCAGCCTTAATTTATCCTTTATGAGCGCACTGCTAAGAATAAACGTGCAATATTCTAGAAGAGGTCGAGCACAAACTTTGTACATTAGAATACGTGACTCATTGTTGTAAAGATTTCGAGTTATGTAACCTATTAGACGTTGAGACTTAGAGGTCTGTTTTAATATATGTTCTGTAAACGACAAGTCTTGGGAATATCAAAGTCCTAAGTCTACTACTGTATGTAACCTAGATAACACTTCTCCATTTATGGTAATGTCTAGGTTGAGTGATGTATCGCCGAAGCATATCCATCCACATTTAGCCGTATTAAGCTCCAGTTGCCATTTTAAGCACCACTGTGCTACCTTTTTAAGCTCCATGCTGATGCAATTTCGCATATTTTTCAGGTCATGTGGAGAAAATGAATATACTACTTTAAGATCATCTGCATATAGAAGGGGCTTACCGACACAAAAACTTTCACAAATATCATTGATAAACACTAAAAAGAGCAAAGGACCTAAGACACTACCTTGTATTACACCACTTCTAACAGGGACAGCGTTAGACAATGAAGAGTTAATTTTAACTATTTGATGTCGATTGCTGAGAAAGGAATCAAGCCAAGCAAGCAAAGGATTTTGAACCCCATAAGATGCGAGCTTACCTATAAGAAGTTGGTGGCTAACCATGTCAAAGGCTTTAGAAATGTCCAACTTCTAATATTCTATTCATGTCACTTTACATCGTTGAAATCTGTATTGTCATCATGAGTTCAGTATGACAGTGATGTTCTTTTATCCAGTACTTTGAAATCAATTCATATTGTGGTCATATCTTCTAATATGATATACTTTTTCTGTGTGCATGCATGTGGATATTGTATTGTCCTGTTTACAGGATTATATATTTACCACATTAAATTTCTCATCTAATTTTTAAGAACTTTTTCTAGTTTATTTTAAAAAAAACGACAGGGTATCCTGGTAAATCAATTTGAATACTTTAGTCACAGCATGCGAAATATACATAGTATATTCTCAAGTTTTCCTTTCCCTACCTCGTAGTTTGTATCTTCATTTATTTTATCTACAAACACGATACTGTGCTAGAATTTACTGTCAATTTCGGTTTATACGCTTAAATTATTCTAATCCGCTAGTACCTCTTAAATTAAACAAAGTTCTAACGGTCACTATTAATTTGTTTTAACATACTCTTTCCTCAACTTTATATATACATTGTAGTCCAAATGTCTTATGTATTTAAATAAACTTTGTCGATACTCTTATACGTTTCCCTTTTTCATTGACTCACAGAATTTTAAAATATCAAACAATCTTTATTACAACTTTGTTACTTGAAGTAATCTGTTTTATAAATTGTAATTACTTGGAAATAATTGTTGTTTTATGGTAAATGTAACAACAATCAAAGAAACAATTATTTGATGTTTCAAATAGTGAATTTATTAATTATAGATAAATTGTTGCTTTTACTAAAAACAGTTGAGTGACGTTTGCAATTTGCTTTTACACTACATTTTATGCATTGTTTTGTTTTGATTAATTTATAGATAATATTCGGTTTTATTTGTTTTCGATTGTAGATTGGTGCTGATGGATTCAATTCACTTGTCCGTAGAACAGCTAATATTCATACAATTGGTTGGAATCATAATCAAAAAGCTATTGTTGCAACTTTAAAATTGGAACAGGTAAATTTTTGTGATTAGTGAAACGGATAAAATGAATTTATACAACTGAACCGGGAAGTTGTACATTGAGGTTTAGTGTATTTAGTATTTCTAACATGATGTGGTAATAAAAATATATCAATAAATGGTTGTGAAATCAATATAGAATAGATGGAATGTGGCTAGCAGTGGAATCCAGAATGCTCATTTCGTCCCATTTGGGACTAGCTAGCTGAATGCACCTGCATCCCAGAGTTGATTTTCATTCCTAGACTCAAATCCAGTAATCTTTGCTCCAAACACCATCCACTTAGCTACTGAATCCAGATAGCCACTCACCTATGCAACGAGTATGAGATACCAAATATCAACAGTGGGATAATTCAATCCATTTTAAATTGAATTAAACCGTGAAATCAGTTATGTCACAAAAATTTGTTTGTTTTTATATTAGATGTTATATCTAAAACTTGGATTTTTTCTATACCGCGTGCAACTTGAGCACTCGAACCCTCCAAGTCTCAAGTTAAAAGGCAGAAGACGAGTGGAAAGGAATCTTATTCAAACCAGTGTCAAATATGATACAAAACACTCGGGTATTCATAGTTTTAATAAAAACAAAATCATCATTACAATCATCCGATTCACAGACAGTAGTTTTTGCATTTGTCCAATCGGGAAGATACAAGTCGACATCGTGTATTAAACTTTCAAACGATGACAGGATCGAATGCCTTTGGCTCTTTCAGAGCTTCTTTAAGTTCACCGGGGGACGTCCACACAGAGGGCTGACCATGATGTACACTACTGTCGTATTTGATATTGACATACATATATTAGATCCAATCGTTACATTGAGTAAGCCTTGGTGTTGATGCCCATTATATTCAAATAGATTTATATATTTCTTTGATTTTTAAATCTTCTTATGGTTCATCATAACTTGTTCTTTAAGGGTGAAGGAACCAGAAATTCTACCTTAAATCTCATAATTCATCATTGATAATTAATTCATAATTTTATCTAATGATGAAGCGATGTTATAAGTTCATTGGTTCCGGATTTAATAAATTTCCTTAATCCCCAAGTTTTTATATTCAATCAGTAATATCCTATCTTTATTAGTTTCGATGTATTTACTACCTATAATTGACTGACCACTGAGTAGTATTAATCAGTGCCATGTTTGTCCAATTTCTCAATGCTGATCGAATCCTGTCAACCAAGTTACAATGTCGTCACTAGTCTAAGTGACTCGACATCGCATGCACTGTGCTGATGTGTAGGGTTTTCAAGTTACCACCAACCTTGGTTCTGTGCCGGTCGGTACTTGTTGCCAACGCGGCACCTTTAATCTTGAAGAGACTCATTCTCCTTGTGACATTCGAATTCATTTCACGCAGTCGCGGCCCGTATAGCTTAGAATTAAATTTCCAGATTGAGTGACACATGCTCGAATCCGACAGAGAGCATCCGTTTCCTCAAGATCACAGTAATCGCCTGCTGACAAGTGCCAACTATTACAAAACCTAAATCCTTAGTTTCCTCCCAAACACCTCCATATTTAGTACCTTTTTGTCATCTGGTGTTTTTACTTTGTAGCCTACCAACATGATTATTGGTCTGGTTACATTTAAATTGAAAACGCAAACTAATAAAGTTTATTATTTGTTTTGTACAGTTTAGCAAATACATATACGTTGCATGTTTTGAATACATTTTCGACAGTATCGTAGTCAAATAAATGCCCTTGACTTTTTTGATTTATGAAAGCATATTGCAATAACTAGTATTGTTACATGCCCACGCGATCTATCTTTACCTTCTGATAGATGAGTCGTTAAGGCCAACATGAATCCAACTTCCTTTTCAGGTTCCTCAAGAAATACTCTTCCACGGTGTGGGCAGCCGGGAAGTGACATCAGCCCTCATACCCGTAACAGCACACGAGACCAAGTCGGTCACATTCAAATCCTTCCTACACCTCCTAATATCTATCTTATCTCCATGACTAACCCTTCTCACGTCTCTTTATCACCTGGCACCGCTACAGCAAACTATTCGAGCACGCGGAACGTTATTCCTGGTCTAAACTACACGTAGGAGCACTTAACTTCCAAACACTGTGCCAAATAGGACAACAGGCTTCCTTAGCTAGGACTTTAGAGTCTCGCGCCATCGATGTGTGCTGCGTCTCCGAAACGCGCATACAGGATCCGAGTAGGGTAATTCATTTGACCTCACCATGTCAAAATAAAGAACCAACTCGATTCACACTTCGTGTACTAGGTAAGGATGGCAAATCAATTGATGAAGTAGTGAAACTTCATCAGTTGAGATGGCTGGAACACGTGTTACGTATGCCCAACCACCGACTGCCTCGACGTGCGATGTTCAATGGTATAGGAGTAGATTGGAAGAAAGCTAGGGGTGGCCAGATCAAAACATGGCATAAGTCCATGAGGTCACTGACAAGTAGACAGACTGAGTCATGTTGGTAGGTGTAGACTATCTGGTTGGGGACAGCGAGATGATAGCAACCGATGGTTAGAGACCCTGAATGACATGGCTCAAAATCGTTTGCAGTGGCGCAGGTGCATCCACTCTTTGTGTTCTCTCAAATTCTAATCTTCTGAATTCTTCATGTCCATTATTTTCTTTCCAAATTTATTTCACTGGATTATACTCCTTGAATAACATCTTCAAGCCCTAATGTTTCCGATCACTGCTCATATTCTTACTACCTCTACCACTACGGGATTTGAGTCGACAACTGCATCTCTGTGCTAATGTGGTGTGGCAACTCGAACTGATGTACGTGCGTACGAAGTTCTACGTTGTTATTGACTGACTGACTGACTGACTGATTATTTGTCTAATAGTTATGCAGTAAGGCCAACTATACAGAGTAAGAAAATATTCAATTACAGATTCCTTCAAATTAAATAAACTTGACATACTAACTTTTAAATAGGAAGTCATGAAATGAATATTATTATTATCCTAAGATTTATTTATTGAGACATAAATATTAGTACAAGGGGTCGCCAAATATAAGGGCTGGATAACGAATCCCAATAACGATCTTCATGTGTTTTTTATCTCATACGTGTATTTGAGTTATGTTTATGACTAATTAATTGATAAATTTTTAATCGTTTTTTTTATATTCATATAATCAGGCTAATAATGAATCTATCGCTTGGCAAAGGTTTCTACCAACAGGCCCAGTTGCATTACTCCCAGTAAGTGGTTATTCTCATTGAGTTTTATTTTGCTTCATGATTGTATAGCTTTATGTTTCAAATTGCTTTTAATGAACTATACCTATCGTTATGTTTAGTGTACCCATCATTATTAACTTTACAGTTATTATCATTATTATCTCACCTTATTTACATGTTATGTTGTTAATGTCACCACCTGTGCTGTCCTGAAGGGAAATGTGGTAACTTGTGCTGAAAAAAAATAATCCCAGTCTTTATATTGCTTATGAATAACTGTAATATTATCAAGTTAAGAGTATTTTACAAATGTAGTTATATTTATAAACATCATAACTGATTGAAGGACAATTAACATTCAATTATTATATCACAAAATTTTCAGTTAAGGTGCGGTGACCATTCGATGTTTTAGTAGGTAGCTCGGAAAAAACTTGTCATGATGCTTGCTGGTCGTTGGCAGTATTGCACAGTATCCCATTTTGTGATCCTGATGGCTTTAGGACCTAGTTTCTGAAAATCACACTCAGTCATAGGTATCCTCAGTGTGTGTCTCATGTAGAGTGGACCCATGTTTATTATATGTATACTATGGCTCCTTCGGTATACCATTTTTGTATACACAGAAGTAGTTTAGAAAATTTTCAAGATAATTCACACCATGGCACAATACTAGTCTATGAAATAACCGACTCTGGATATGAATTATATATATATATATATATATATATATATATATATATATATATATATATATATATATATATATATATATATATATACCTACGCAAATCGGTTTATATATTAGAATGAATCAGTTAACACATTATTTCTGTATGGAAGGATAGTTAATCTATTCTGTTCTAGTGTTTATCTAAATAAGCTATGATCAAAGAAAGGACACTCTTTTTTCTATCAGTTTAGTCTTGGTTGTTAAGAGTACACAGTCTTCATGTATAAACCATATCGATATTGAATAGATTTTGCACTAGAAGTAGTATCATCATCATATGTATCTTTCAGTTCGATAGACAAGTCTATATAAAAAAAAACAGAGTAACCTTCAAATGTTATAAGAATTTAATCAATTAAGTAATTTTCGAATGTTTACTCTCATAATTACAAATTAGATTTGAAAATATGTATGACAATTGTGTGTATACTCGAAGACAAATAAAGGTATTTTAGAAATGCAAATAAGTACGTGGTAAGAGTAGTAGTGATTTGCAATAAAATGATAAATTAAAAAACTCAGAATATGTATGATATTGTAAGTGGAACATATGCAGTACGTATATGTTTATTAAGGTACAATGAAAGTGTCTTCGCTGTTGTCAATTTTTTTTCTGTCAAAATCAATTAATCTGTTTCACATCAAGGGTTGATGGTTTTGCTTTCTTTTTTTTCTTTTATAAAAAACCTTCATGTTTAAAAAGTGATCACTTTATTTATTTGTGTTTGTGTATGTGAAAAAGTGACAAATCAATTTCTCATTCCGAATTACACTAATTTTTACTCTTGCATTATATTATTTAATTAAATTTTAAATAAATAATAAATGTCATAATAACTAAATCATTGCAAAACTGCTGAATAAATTTTAATGAGCTGATACAATCAGTTTATGGAATTTTCGATAACAGTCATATTATTGCAAAATCTCAATTACTTTAAACAACTTTGAAGTGTTAACATAGTATTCATTATTTAACAAATCAACTGAAATAAAATGGTTGAATTTACCAATCGATATAAGTTAGATCATCATTGAAAACCTGGACGACCATTTAGTCATGGTATAGAAGTGCGCATCCATGATCTTTCGCGCAAGACCGACGGTCCTGGGTTCAAATCCCGCTTGGGAGGTCGTATATATATATATATATATATATATATATATATGCATCCACAATTTATCATAAACTTATTTATTGTAACGTTGTACGTTTAGATTAATTTGTCTGTTTATTTCTCTAATGAATTTTCTAGCGTATGATCTATTTATCTTCATTGTTATGAAATCATTGAATCATCAAATCATCAAATATTTTTCTTCTTTTCACAATATTGATAATAATTGTAGATAATTATCGTCTTTATGAATTAATTTTTAGTCTAATTATTAAAATTTCTTTGAATGTTAGATGAATGTATGATTAGTTTTGAAGTTGTACGAAATAGTAACAAGATACTCCAATTATACCTTTTTTTCTTTCTCATTTATCTAAAAGTTGTCAAAAGAATATTCATCATTAGTTTGGAGTACAACTTCGTATGAAGCTGATCGTCTTATGAATTTAAAAGACTTAGATTTCATTCAAGAGTTGAATGACTGTTTGGTAAGTTGTGTTGAAATTCTTTGATTCATGCTTTTATATATACTTACTATTCAATGAATATACGGGAAATTTCTTTGTAATAAGCTCACGTAAAATTAATTAAACCTCATACAATTCTTCAAACAACTAATTATTTGTGGAACCTTACTTTTTTGAAGGTCCGATATTAAAATCTCTGTGTTTTGGAATATTTCATTCAATTTGATATATTAAAGCCACAATGCTAATGTTACGGTCGTTAACTATTGTAATATTCGATAATTCCCTCATATTTGTTTATCTTTGCTGGATTATAAGCCACTTCTTCCCGATATTTTTTCTTTCGAGAAATATGTATTCTTTTCTTCATTTGTTAGACTAAACCTAATGAATCGACGTCACAAATTGGTGCACTTTTCAATAAGATGGGACAATGTTTTGCTAGTATTGTTGATTACTTTGGTAATCAAATAAAATCTACAGACAATGAAAGTGAATCCAGCTCATTTTCAACACCAACAGTATTATCGATTCAACCAAATACGAAAAGGGCTTGTTTCCCTCTAGGTTTTCAACATGCCACATTTTATTCAGCTCCTCATGTGGCACTAGTGGGGTATGTTAATCATTTAAATACCTATTCAAACAATAATATCAGTGAATTTTACTGCTTGCATCATAGCCATTGACCTTAGTTAGATAACCACTGGAAACCTAAAAGCAGTGGATAGCCATTTCGCCTTAGTATGGGATTTCTCAACAGTGAGCACCTATGACCCTACCGGCAATAAAACACACTGCCTTCCAGTCTCGGAGAGTAAACTGTAAAATACTATTAGTTTGGTGGAGTAGTTTTTAACGCTACTTATCAATCAATTGTTATCTTTGATGTTCGTTTCTAAGTGAGTCAGTCATCTATGAGATGGTATACACATCCTGAGTAGTAAGAACAATTATACTATATGATCTTCAGTGCGTGTGCAATGACAACGGAATATTGCAGGAAATTAAGATTAGTTAAACTATTATAGTTTTGAAATGCTACATATATTTACGTTACTCAAGTTCCAAGTCTCATTTCATGATCGTGTTCACAACGTTTCATGAGAATATTTCGAAGTTGAATAGGAGGTTTACTTGTGTGTTATAACAAAAGCAAAGTTGGAATCCACTTCAATATGTTTTTCTACTTTCAAGATGAATTTGAGTTACCCTTTACCTATACAACGTTACATCAAATAGTTATTCTGAAAACACTAATTTTAATAGATTTTTAAATTTTTTTTGCCCTTAAAAACGGTTGAAGAAATTCGTCATTGATGCTAGGGGTAATGTGTGATGCATATTGAATGACTAGTCTATTAGGTCAATGTTTCACCTTAAATATCTGCTTTATATTGTAATCTCATAAAAAGTGTACTTTTTGAAATGACTCATAGACGATATCTGTCGACAATATCCCTGTGTGTTGTTTCTTAAAGTTTCTCAGCTAAACAAATTATTATTATCATTATTATTACTTACAATTAATGGGCTAAATTACCTTGATTCACTAACTAATCAGATGGTTATTAAGGTACTCCTATATAAAAATACACTCGCTTTTATTGGAAAGCATATATATTAGACAGTAGATAGATTAATTTTGATAGTTAATTTTGATATACCCTGTGGTGGACCAATAAAAATATGAAAATACCTTAACTTAATTATTACTCCATAAGCGTATCAAGAGAGTAAGTTTATATAACACAGAAACAAATATATATCCACAATCATAACGCTATGGGGCAAATAATTCCAAGGAAAGTCATATATAGATCCAAAGTGTTTGTGCGTAATCGACAGAGAATATGCTGTATGGTGTTAGCTAAAGCGTATTCAACAGGATTGTTAGTAAACAATTAGAAAACCTCAGCCAACAAAGTCAAGACGAAGTGTGTGTACGAATACGTATATTTAGCGATTGTTTATCAATAAGACACAACAAGTGAATAGGAATAAAGGAAGTCACCTTAAACGAAATTCTTCACTCATTACAATATTTGTATACATTGAATATAAAAATTATAAAAAATTGCAAATAATTAAAAAAAACTTTGAGTTTATTTCAACCATCCCCATAATCCTATTTCTCTTGCTTTTTCGCCTACATCACCTTATAGTAATTGATTCTCGTAACTGCCACCTATCCTTCCTATTTTTGTTAGATTTGCAAGTTTATGTGAGGAAGGGGGCTGTGAAGTCATCTAAAGTCAAAGTGATTATCACATTAAGTCAGAGGCAAGGTATTTTTCCAAACTGGAATATCAATTATCGAGTAACCTGTTTGATCACTCCCCTACCTCGCTCTCCTTTTAATTTACATATTCATATAATTACAGTTCAGTAGTTCAAACCCTAGTAACTGGCAGTTTAACTGTTTACTAGGTTATACTGAGTGAGTTTTATTAAACCTTTAACTTTGGTTGGCTGTTATAAGATATTTTGGTGAGATTATTCCAAATAAAACTATAGTCTATCGTGTGCACTATTTAAAGGCTTTATTAGACTGAAATACTATTTATCAAAAATATTTCAAGATATTTTTGAATTTATTTGTTAATTGTTAGTTGCACCTCTTTTAAATGTTTTTTTTCTTAAAAAACATACCATTAATGTAGTGATTCTGCTCATCGAATACTACCACTTGCTGGTCAAGGTGTTAACCTTGGTTTCGGTGATGTTGTTTCATTGGTTAAGCATTTAGAAGAAGCTGTTTTGCATGGAGCTAATATTGGTAAGAAACAATTTTCACAACTATTATCACTAATACTTTTTCTTTTATTTGATGCGCAAAACAAAATCATCTATTTCACAGTTGTACTGATTTCGTATTGACACATTTACGTCAAACTGATTAACTGGAAAGGTATAAATTTTTTGGTGTTCGATTGACCTAGTTAGGAATTCATCCTATTTCATCAAGTTTATCGTATTCGCTTAGCACTATAACCCTAACCAAGTAACTACTTCCTGTTTCCTAAAAACACAGAGCAGCTATGGGTAAAGTGTGAATTATATACATTACAAGTCATGTCTATTTATGCACTTGTCTGAAACCTTAATCAAACACCATTGAACTTCACTTACATAACAATAAAGTATTTGTTGTGAATTTTGGCCAGTTAATTATCACTTGACTTATTGGCCAGTCAGAATACGACTTATACACTATTAGCACTCTGCCGAACCAATGACGTATTGACCGATATGAACAGCCCGGTGTCTTTATATGGTCCCTTTTTCCTGACTATTGAGTCCAGAACACCAATATCAGCTTCCACTATACGAATCGTATATTCCAAACATACTGGGTTTATTTAAAAAGCGAACCAGTCCACATCATACCATAAAATACAAAATAAAAATTATACGGGATCAGGCTTAAAAGTAGCTGTGATTCTGAGAGACTGTGATTAATAAACTGAGTATAACTTAAGAATAGTAAATCGGATAATAATGGTCTATAGGTCAAAATGAAGCTTATAATAAGCGAAAACATAAATAAGCATAACCTATAAGCAAAGATGGATAGTGGCTAGCAGTGGAATCCAGGACGCGCGTTTCGTCCTGTTTGGGACTCGTCAGCTGGATGTACCTGCATCTCAGAGTTGATGTTCACTCTGGGACTCGAACTCAGTACCGTTCGCTCCAAACGCCATCGCGTTATCCACTTAGCTACTGAGTCCTGATAGCCACTTGCTTGTGCAATGGGTTGAAGTTTAATTCACTTGATATTGTTTTACTTGAATCTTCCCATTGATGTTTTAGGACTGAAATTGATCAGTCTCTTATTGGCATATGTGCATACTGTGCGTATGCCTCGATATTCCCTTAATTTACAAGCATTATAAGCAAAGATGGATAGTGGCTAGCAGTGGAATCCAGGACGCGCGTTTCGTCCTGTTTGGGACTCGTCAGCTGGATGTACCTGCATCTCAGAGTTGATGTTCACTCTGGGACTCAATGGGAAGATTCAAGTAAAACAATATCAAGTGAATTAGGCATAACCTAGTTACTCAATAGTTATACAATAAGAATATACGTGTAATATTAGTTTATATATATGGTTCTCAGTAGTTTCTCAAAATTTTAATCTCCGCTAGAATATTACAGTATTCGTGCGTTTGAATTCAAATGAATCTGTTTAACTATTCTATAAACAATCCACGATATTATAGGGCAGTAAAGTGATCAATTATTTTTAAAGGCCTATATATGCAGTCAATTTTTTTGTTGGTTAATGCATTGAAAGATATAAGGATATATGCACTGTAAAAAAGAATAATATCTAATTTTGATTTATTTCTCTGACACACATTACAATTAAACGTTACTTCACCTCATATTTCTTTGCACTCTTTACCTTTGGTTCATATCCACAAAAGTAGCTGAGCACTCTCCAACTTGTTGATTCATAATGCAGTTGATAGTCGGATTCTTAGTTCTTTATATACGCTCTGACTCTGACATCACTACGTCGATCTTAATTAATTTACTGTATAGTAAAACGTAACCGATTGAAAAAATGTCGTACTTGTTTCAAACGTTTTCATATGATGTTAGATCAATGTATGGTTGATTTATACTGTACTTTTAATTAAATTCATTTGTAAAAACATAATTTCACAAGCATGTTGTTCATATAAAGAAACTGTTGTTTTTACCATTTTCAATTTATAATCTTTATAAACTGTACATTTTATGCAGTGTAAACATTTTTCATTCCTTTTAATTGTTTTTGTGGGGGGATCTACAGGAAGTTTAGCTTATCTTAAAGATTATACAAATGAACGACAAAGAATCATAGTACCATTAGCTGGTACATTAGAATTAATTAATTTATTATATTCCACTGATGCATTTTGTAAACCAAATAACAAGGAATCATCTTCTGTTTGTCGTAATTCTGCAATATCATATTTATTAAATAATATTATCACAGATATTCGTGGAACTGGAATGAGTACTGTTCAATCTAGTAAATTATTGAAAGTTAGTTAATTTCAGTGTCATTATTTTATGAATTACCATTTTAATATTTGAGATCATGAGTCAATTGAAGCTAGATAACCATAAAAAACCTGGAAGCATTGGACGGCAGTTTCGTCCTACTGTGGGACTCTCTTTCTTATATTATTCAACATATGCTCACTAGTGACTTGCTTCAAGAGGTATTTCTTGGAGTTCTGGTGAGAAGCCGTGACTAATGAAGCTCAACCGGGTTTGTTGTGAGATGGTAACTCACTGATGACAATCGTGGATGTGTCGCTCAATTTCATGGATAAGCTGAAGTCAGAAATTAACACCGTCGGATGTTGGCTCAGTGGTTAAAAGGTCGCGCGCGAGGCGGGATAGTGGATGCGCAGGCTTCAGCCCCACAATAGGATGAAACGGCCATCCAGTGCTTCCACGTTTTCGATGGCGGTTTAGCTTCAATTTACTCATGATCTCAACTATTGAAATTACTATAATATCCACAAAACCCTTTCTGATATTAATTACCATTTTGTATATATACATATTAATGAATTTGAAGAATCAGAATAATTTTTAAATTGTCTCATTTTTTCTCTAATTTTATTTATTTATTTGGACACATAAATATTAGTACAAGATGGCACCAAATATATATGCGCCACTTATTTTTGTGTGCGGGCTGAGATACTGCCCAGGTGCCCAGACCGAAGCAGGTAGTTATCTTAGGGGGCCACACCCCGGGCCTTCGACTTAAGGGTCTAACCCACAAGGCAGTGGAGCATCGTAAGGAGATGCAGTCCCATGGTAGTCGGTGACCGAAAGTTTGCCACGAGAAGGCAGTGAGTAGGACTTCCCTGGCAGAGGCTGTATACGCGTGGCCGTGTGAGAGTATTTCGGGGGGATGGCGAACCCACCCCGCTCTCGGCCATACCAGAGCAGATAAGTCGTATTCCAAAACAGGTTTACTAGATTACTGTTTCAATTCTCGTTGTTCATTCTCCTTTGTTTTTTTTGTATTGGTAATATTATCCTGAATCCATAACTTCAACGCAATTAATTAGCGTTTTTAACTTTACATGATAATTAAGCACTGAAGTTTGTGCTAATGATATCGTTCAGAAGAACGATGAAAGCTCGATGACCAAACTATGCAGCTCAGAGAACAAAACTCCATCAAAATAGTTTGTTATATGTTTGAAATTGAATATTATTGGACTATTCCTATAAATTTCAACAGTTGAGATCACGAGTCAATTGAAGCTAGGCCGCCATGTAGAACCTGAAAGTACTGGATGGCCGTTCCGTCCTATTGTGGGACTCCCCAGCAGTGCGCATCCACGACCCCGCCTCGAGGGATTCGAGCCCAGGACATATCACTTTCGCGCCAGGCGCTTAACCAACTAGACCACTGAGCCGGCATTCAAGGGTGTTAATGTCTAACTTCAACTAATCCACGAAATTGAGCGACACATCCACAATTGTCTTCAGTGAGTTACTATCGCACAACAGACCTGGTTGAGCTCCACTGGTCACTACTTCTGCTGAGGAGTCCCACAATAGGACGAAACGGCCATCCAGTGCTTCCAGGCTTTCCATGGTGGTCTAGCTTCAATTGACTCATGATCTCAACTGTTGAAATTACTAAGATCTCCACAAAATCCCCTCTGATATTCCTATAAATGTTTCAAACTGTTCAATAATACAAAATTAACCCCAAGTTACTCTTATCTAATTATTGCTTTGCCAATATATACACATTACTTTAATGGATTGATTTTACTCAATCATTGAAAATATCTACTGGTATACTGTAAAGCTATCGCTCTTTGTTTCGACCCAATATTATCAGTTTCGTGAATTGGTTGGTATAATTTGATTGGCATTTATCTGTTCATATAGTTTTTGAATGCTGCATATAAAGGCATGATTTTCACTAGAGATTCCACTTCAATAGTCCGTAGCTATCAACAAATGTTTTCTATGTACACGCATCTCAAACTGACAGATAGGAAAATCAAATAAAGTGAGAATTAGAGCTTGAAATATAGTCTTGAGTGAAAATCGTGCTTTTTTATACATCACTTGCTCACTAAGTGGGTTAAAAATTCTCGGAAATGTTCAATAACCCCCACAAATCGAACATTGAAAAATAGACGCGCTACAAATTCATGGATATGCATCTTTTCTCGGTTTCATACTGTCTGACACTAGACAGCAATGTGTGGCTGTAGTAACGAGGATGCAACATAACTTACTATATGAACATTAGACTAGCAGTAATAAATTAGTTGACAGTAAGCTATTAGATTTAAGTGTTCTTTTTTGAATGTACGTAATGAGATTAATAATTTAATCCGTTACATACAAACCAATATTACTTTGACTTAATAATCAGTAACAGTTTATTAATGCTGAATGGTAACCAAAACCTACCTAATGAGTTTTAAACACTTAACCCCAGAGCTTTTCGCGATAAACTGCAAATATAAAGGTTTTAAAGTGATTGATAGCATTTACTTAGTGACTCTGTGGCCTCAAATAGGAATATTTTTTCTCCCCTGTCACAAACACTGACTATTACTGCATTAAAGTCTACAATTTCTTGTTTGTTTCAGACTAACAGAAAGTAAATTCTTCTATATAGATTTCTATTTAGTACTTCATTTGATATCTATATCTGAATCGTATTAGACATTTTCGAGTAGATAACGTAATTCAGTAAGTCGTCCAGAGCTAGTTGAAAATATTTAGTTGGAAAGTAAGCTAAGGTTGACGAAAACAAAAAATCACAGTCGTGCATATCGTTACTGATTGAGCTGTGTAGGAAAGTGCACATCTTTTCCAAATCATCCACATGACAACAATCAGTCATCCCAGTCGGTAAATAATTTTGCAAAACTTTAAAGTGACTAAACTATTCACTACATTTTCGTATAGGAACAATTTTACCATCCTTTTCGAATTCCTCAGATAATAGTAAAAACACAGTACTCTACCTTTCTTGTTTATGGTAGATACGGGACTAATTGCCCTTAATGATTATATTATGTATAATGCATCAGTATACACACTTCTCTGCCTTTCTTTTTTTTCAGGAATTTTTGATGGCAGTTGCTGTCACTGGACAAATCCGAACAACACAATCGAAAACCACTTATTGCTTGTAGTTGGATTATTTCTGTAATCTCTTCATACTAAAAATAAAACTCCCTAGATGATCTTATTAATTTGAATGTAAAACAGAAAAAAAAGGTATCTTGAGCAAACGGCAGCTGACTTGGGTCGCATTACATATATAATATTATAGTAGCTTCGTAAGAAGTCTATGGAACTTGCTAAGAATAAATATTCATGAATACACGATGTTTGAAAGCACGATTATTTGGGTCTATCCATGGTGTTAGGAAGTTGAAGCATTCTCAGACCTATATTGAACTCAGCTGCCTAGTTCTTCGTTATGTTGGTAATTTAGATAATTTAATTTAGAACCGTTTGTACGATAATATTCCTGATTATGTATGTACGCTTTCGAATTCATAACCATTTCCGTAAAGCGAACAAATATTTTTACAAAATTCACAAGGATTTCCGATGTTTTCTTCAAGTATAAACTCAATGTCTACTTGACATTAGGTCAAATTCATATCATGAATAGATCAATGTTAGACCACCATTGAAAACCTGGAAGCACTGGACGGCCGTTTCATTCTAGTATGGGGCGCCTCAGCAGTGTGCATCCACGATCCCACACGCGTGATCAGAACCCAGGACCTTTGGACTCGCGCGCGAACGCTTAAACTCTAGACCACTGAGCCGGCATTCAACGGCGTTGATGTATAACTTCGACCGATTTGCGATATTGTGCGACCGTCCACCATTGTCTTCAGTGAGTAAATGCTACATAAAAGTCACGGTTGAACTCCACTAGCCACGGATTCTCATTAGAACTCCAGGAAATTCATCTTGAATGGTGGTCTAAGATCGATCTATTTATGATATCCATTTAAACAACCATCTCCAAAATCCTGTACTGATAGTCTACTTGATATTTGAAATTTATTTTGTCATAGCCGTTCTAGGAAGTTGTATTAGGCAACATTTTTGTGAAGACACCAACTTATACATGTAACTAGAATTGGCTAGTTTCTGTCCTGCCCTAAAAGTATGAAGTCCGTTTAATGGGATATTTTGTTTACTGTGTAAATTAGAAATCTACTATTACTGATAGGCAGCCGGTCTACCCGTGCATTGAGTTGTCAAAGGTTATTTATGTAGCAAAGTACTTTTACAGTGTATTATACCTAAGACGTCATGCCTCAGTGTTCAATGCTGATCGAATTACATCAATCACGTTGCAATATGACCAACATCCTAAATAGTTTGACATCCCGTGCACTTCCTTATTTTAGGCAGGTGGAAGCAATCAACATAAAACACTGCTCCGGATATCTTCCTGATGGGTGTCTTACAACAAAGACCATTCGACTTGTATTTTGAGACCATGTAACTGCTGGAGTATTCAAGCTTTATCTAGCACTGCAATAGTTCACGCAAGGTTCAGTCACTTGGACCAGTGATCGTATTGCAAGTTGATCAACCATATGACTAGACATACAAGAAATGAGCATGCCCTAAATGTCATTCCTGACATGAGTAGCCTAGTGTCGACTTTGAAACTCGGTTATCTATGTTTGAATGCCTCAAATAGTATCCAACCTATAATCATGAGATGTTTTTAAGGAGACCCTTTCCCCTGGGATTTCAGATAATTACAAAGAGAGGATTTAGTCCTACTACATCCTTAAATTTATAAGGTAAGTGCAAGGGCATTATTATTTTATAAGTATGAATCACAGAAGAATCGTGCGTCCATAAACTGATATAAAATGTGGTGAAACTTAAAAGTGAAGCCATCACGACAATTGTACATGTACATACTCGGAACTTACATCTGTACAAAGGACTTTTGGCTCGAGATGTTACATTCACTAAAATGGCTTGCAATGATCTAACATGGCTCATTACTAAGTCAAAGTACGCTAACCGAACGAGTTGGATTGTGTCTAAGCGAAATCGATCGAAGGGCAAGAAACAAATAAATACACCAAAAGTTTTCGAGATTACAACCCCGGAAGTTGTTTACATCATTAGCAGTTTAATCATTATGAAATCAGTGAACTCAAAGTATTTTTGTAATTATATCTCATGTGAAAATGTAATCTAAAGGCTTCGATATTATTTTGGAATATTTGACGTAAGCCACTGTAATTACAGAAAAAACCAGGTCCATGGAACATCAAATAATGAGCAAAGTGAGCAGAATACGTAATCTCTGTAACATTTAGGCTCGGACATGCTGAATTAACTTTATATTTACAGTAATTGTTCCTGTCAAGACGCCTACGTTTTACAAACTCCTAGTATTGATGTTCAAGCAGAAACACAACAGATTCCCAATATTTACAACCGTGTTGTTTACTGAAGAAATGGTTTACCCCACCTCCACATAGAAAAAATAATACGCAAAACCAACAATCTTATTTTCAAAGATCAAAATTTATCGATGGATGGTGGTAGAGAAAAGCTAAAAGGTAATCGCCAATCAATTTGAGGTTGCAATGTAAAAAGGTACAAACTGGTGAGAGAAACAAAGTCATGTTTAATTACACAGTGGTGGCGCGTGTGTAAATGCACTTCAAAAGGCTAAGCGAAAATCTAAACAAACACATGATGTCCTGTCATTGTTGAGATACAGTCCAAAAATGAAAGAGCATTTATGCAGAATACTAGCAGGAAGACCATCTACACTGCATACGATTATGAACATTTTGTGGAAAGATAAACCTAATAACTGTAAGAAAGCGCATTTTAACTCAAAATAGTTAGCTTTTGGAAAAGGCAACGTATGTAAAAGGACACCATAAGATCTTCGTGAAATATCATAAATCCGCAAATATTAACTTGCTCTTGCCTTATTGTGGTTTTGACTACGTCTAGAGGTACCGTTGTTCTGTTTTGATGTTTGGTCGTCATTTACATTATTTGCGCCCAAATTATCACTCTTAATGGCTTTATTGTCAGCTTGTGGATTTCCATGATCACCAGTTGACATTGCACCTTAAAAAATAGGAAAGATAAACATGTGATATTTAGGAACACAAGACAATCAGATACAAACTGGAATATCAAAAAAAAACTTAGTCAGCACCACTACATGAGTACGATTATCATATAATTACGTATAGGGTTGGCAAAATACATTTTCATGACACGACAATGAAGCAACGAAAATATCTTGTCATAGCGTCTAATTGCCATGTTAGAAAACTCTCGGTTACATAAAAAGCCTGTTACTGTCAGAACATTTGTTACTTTACGTTGTTTATGGTTCTTACCTTCAACGATTTCTTGGGATGAAATGTTTTAAAAAATCAAACCATAAGTCCTCAAATTGTGTGCAGCCATCTAAACAACAATTCTCAGCACTGAATGACATTCGACAGAACTTTTTGTGCCTTAGAATTATCTGAGGTGTTGCTCTACGTTTCTAGATATTTATTTTGGAACAGAACTAAAGCTAAATCGAATGCCTAGGATTTTCGTGTACTTTAATCGACACACATAATGAAGATTTTCAAAACACTATTTATACAAATCTCAAGAAATCTGACTGTAATATAATGAAAACATAAGTATTTAATAATGAACATCAGTGAAATTAAATATACCGTTAGAATAACAAGGATACGAACCATTGACTGATGATTGACGATTTTTCATATTATTATTGGGTACATCTGACTGGTGGGTATTTTTGGCACGCAGGTGTTGCCCATGAGCATTAGGCGGATGAGATACTTCTTTATCATCCAAAGATTGCTCAGGAACAAAGCTCTCAGGTTGTCGACGACCGCGACCCACAGTTCGATTCCTCCTGAGAAACAGATTTGGTTTCAAAGAATAAGAAATGTCTACATATAATATAACGAAAAACCTTAGTCATACTCGATATAAAGCCTGGGACAAATGTCCAGCAACACAAGTTGCGAAATAACATCAACAAATCGAGGTGAAATTAATCTATTATATGCTATAAGAGTTAAGGTACTATTACTATTTATGATAAAGACTACTTTTGGCGTATAGAGTTCTAAAAAGGGATAAATCCAGAAAACGAGTATGAACAAAATATGGAAGCCCAAAACTCAGGAAAAGATAAGTCAGTCAGCTACAACGTAGGACCAGGCACATATATGCAACGGTCCAGGTTGCCATACCGCATTACCACAGCAAGATGAACACCGGATTCATAGGAGTAGCTAGGTCAAAGGTTGTAATATATGGGAGAAAGATTGCATATAAGGATATAGTACAGGAAGAAAGAATTAGTTAGTAGAAAGATATGGAGCGATTTTAATCTCTTAGTTTAAGGGAAGATGGAGAGTGTATACACCGACGCCATTGTGATCGATTCTGAGCCATATCACCAAGAGTCTCCAACCATTGGTTACGATAGTCACGCGGACCCCAACCAAGTAGTCTGCATCTACCAACATGGCTCAGACTAGAAGTTAGTGACTTCAAGCACTGATGCCACGTTTTGGTTTGGCCGCCCCTAACTTTCTTCCAACCATCTCTAACACCCGTTAGCATTGCACGTCGTGGTAATCGGTGTTCAGGCATACGCAACATGTGGGCCAACCATCTCAGTCGATGAAGATTCACAACCTCGTCAACTGATTTACCATCATTCCCTAATACCCTGCGTCTAACCTCACTCTTACTTACCCGGTGATCCCAACAGACGCCAGCAATATTTTTAAGGCATCTGTGGTCAAATACTAGTAGCTCACGAGTGTCTTCTACTCTTAATGGCCATGTTTCGCTGCCGTAAATTAAAACAGAACGGACTGCCGCGCAGTATACTCGTCCTTTTATTGATAGACGGATATCTCGCCTTCGACAAAAGAGTCTGCATTCTATCGGCGTCTCCACCAAACAGGACTATGTCATCTGCGTATTCTAAGTCGATAAGTGGACCTCCTGGAAGGAGATCAATACCCGAGAATTCAGTAGACGAGAATGTTATTTCCATCAATAAGTCTATGATGAATTTAAACAAAAATGGAGAAAGTGGACAGCCTTGACGGACACCACTTGAGGTTGCAAAAGCAGATGACAGTTCGCCATAAGCTCTGACTCGATTGGTAGTGTTCGAGTAAAGAGCCTTCACAAGGTTTATGTACTTCTGAGGTACGCCTTTCAATGACAGACACTGCCACAGAATCTCGCGGTCTACCGAGTCAAATGCTGCTTTTAAGTCAAGAAAGACCACCACTGTCGGACGCCGATAAGTATGCCTATGTTCTAGAACCTGACGAATGGTGAATATGTGGTCGATGCAGCCACGACCAGGTCTGAAGCCAGCTTGATTTTCTCGTGTTTGCAGTTCACGAGTCTTAGTTAAGCGTCTGATAATTATCGAGGCTAGTGTTTTAAATACTATATTAGTTAAACTAATCCCTCTATGGTTGTCACAGGATGATTTTAACCCTCTCTTATATATTGGGACGATAAGTGATTGTGACAAGTCAGATGGAATAACGTCCAGATCTTAGCTAAAATATTAGTCAACCTAATCGCTAAAATTGGACCACCATCCTTAAAGACCTCTGGAGCCAATCCATCTGGACCAACTGCCCTTCCTCGTTTCAGATTAACTATAGCCTTTTGAACTTCTGCTAGAGTTGGGGGACCTACTTCAATGTTCCATTCACACTGTCTGGGAATGGAGGGTAGTTGTATAGTAGCTGAACTGTTCCCCCCATCGTTCTAAACGTCTGGACTGGGAGCAGATGAGAGTATCGTCTTTTTCCGAAATAATCTCACTTACACTTGACTTATTAATTCCAATGGGATAGGGAAATTAAATGAATGTATCTGCACCATTGTGATCGTACCTGAGGTTTTTTAGACAACGTTTCCGGCCACTGACCACGCACATCTCAACCAAGTAGTCTGCATCTACTGACAAAGTTTTGACTTGAACTAATTACATTATATCAGATGATAACAAACGTGCATAAATAAGTTCTTAATCTAAAGATGCTTTACACGAGTCTTTGTTAATTATAGCTCATGAAATCAGACAAGGAGTCTTTGGGTTCGTATTTAGAATAAATGAAAAAACAGGTAGGTTCTACGTTCAAAAGTACTGCTGACGAGAAATTATGACCTAAGTTTACTTAGTAAATGTGATTTATTCGAACTATATTGATAGCTGTGAAAATCATGGTGAGACAAAAAGGTCTTATGTAAAGTAGGCCACATTTAATACAAATTGTATACTCCATTGTGTGTGAACTACCTTATTTATGCCAACTCTTAATTGATAAACACTGGTTGAGAAAAGTGTATATTATAGATTGAAAAAGTAATAAAATTAACTGCATTTTAAAGGGGATCACTATTCAAAAGTGCAACTGACAGGATTGTCAAATATAAAAAATATGAGTTTGTATAATCTATGAAAGTACAATGTTCTACTAAGCTAATAAAGACGAAATACAGCCATGAGAACAAATATTTGATTGGAATCAAAGTATGGAAATAAAGAATACCATTATTCATGAAGTTCGGTCACAAACCAGAAGAAACTTAAAATATAGATTAAATCACAAAATTTTTTAAAATAAATACAAACCCGAAATTCCCACCACCTCTACTAGGCCTGCCATTTGAAATGCGAGTAGGTGATACAGAATCCGATTGGTGATTGAGTTGATTGGTTTGACGCAACTGACTGAACAGCGATCTTCGGGCTTCCTACAGTAGAGTAAATAAGATTACAAAAAAACGGGGTGGTATACAATTGCGATGAATAACTTAAACAATTCACATGTGACTGGTTTTATAAAATGATGGAAATACTGTTAAAGTAGTAAACAAACAGATAAATAAAGGACAAGATGTTGATTTTGAATGAAAATATTAAGTTGATACAAGAAAATCACATACTTCTAATTCATCTAGTTCATTCCAATTATCGGCTTGGAATTCAAGTAGTAGACGCATTTTCGCAACAGATGAACGTGTACCAACAAGAGAGAAAGCAGGGGATAAGTCGACGATACCACCGGAGTTCTTGTCATCATTCAAATAACCATCCAGATTGACAGAAAGCTTTTCGTTCCCGTTGTCAGTTTCTTCACCGTTTGATGTATCTTCATGAGCATCGCCATCTGTTACAGAACCTCCACGTTCCAAGTCAACACGTACTGGACAATGACTTTGACGTTGAGCCATTAGTCTGCGTTTTCTAGCGAAAGGATCAAGTAGCTTAGCTCGCCGAACACCTGCAGCTTCTGCTAATTTGCGAATATTCATGCCTTTCGATCCGATCAGCCTACTTGCTAATCGTGGTTGGACTGGAATCTCAACTTCAGTGAAATCCAAAAGATTTCTCACTGCGTGACATGCTTCAATAGTCTGAACGACAAAAAAAGTGATAGGATAAAAACAGATATAAAGCTTATGAAAAAACTGATTAGTTGGAAAGTTATTTCAGAAAGTGTCCGGTACTACTGTTAGACTGAACAATCAACGTACAGATGGAGTAAATTAGTGCCGTAATATTGATATCTACCACAATGTTGAACGAGTAATATTTGTCGAAATTCCCATTAACTCCCACGTCTAATGTTCGTCGGAACAACGGCTAGCAAAAAGCCTAATAATACCCTAAAATACGGTCCAGAAAATATATCATACTACGCTATTTTCCTTCTCTCTCTCTCTCTCTCTCTCTCTCTTCATATATATATATATATATATACTTTGAGGCTGGATTTAATTGTCAACATTATTGTCCAGACTAATGACGATAAAGCAGTTACTAATCTTCTCAGCACACTCCAGAAAAAAATATAGCAGGTTTAATTACCCTATCTACTGGTTGAGCTGAAGGTCCTTATTCCTTATCAGTATCAGTTAGAGTTGCCATACCATGTTAGCACCGAGATGTAGTTGTCGATTCAAATCCCGTAGTGGTAGAGACGGTAAGAGTGTAAGCAGTAATCAGAAAGATTAGGGTTTGAAGATGTTATTTAAAGAGTATAATCCAGTGAAATATATTTGGAAAGAGAAAAAAAGACAAGGAGGATGAGTCTACCGACTGATATGTGGATCAAAAATTTTGAAATCAGCATTAAACTACAACGTGCCTAAAATCCTTAGTTCAAAAAATAAAAAATTTCATTTCAATTTACTTTAACGCCGCAGTTTGGACGGCCGAAAACTGAGATTAATTACTAAAAATTACCTCAGCTTCTACATGGACTATGCCATCAAAAAGAAGATCCACCGCACGAACTCCAGGTATTCCTCGAGCTTCTTGAATAGTTGCACCACGATGCCCAATAGCGAGACCAATCAAATGTGGCAAAATTCGAAAACGACATTCATAACCAATAATCATCCCACCAGACGCTTGTTTGTCACTGGACACAGTTGCTGGCATACTTATAGGTTTGCAATGAATTGCAGGAGCATCGCCATCTTCGACATCTAGTTCACCGCTGTTGGACAATTCCAGATCACCAGTCTCCCCTTTGGATAAGTTTCTTAGCTACAAAAGCAGCAATCATACTCGATGATTATATACAACATTTCCTAATCCAGACAAATTAAAACAGCCGTGACATCGTCTTAAGCTGCGAGACAATTTAGCACTAAAGATATTTTTTATATCTTGGTGGAACAATTAACAAAAAAACTTACCAAGTGGAATCGAACAGCCAACAAACGAATGTGGCCCAATTCTAAGAAAGTTGCGCGTCGAATTGCTTCAGACGAACCGGACCAGATATGGAGCAGTACAAGAGGTCCATTGGCTCCAGGTAGACCTGTCAAAAGGATGTTTGGGTCTGTAATCCCTGCTGGACTCAGTGTTCCGGCGATATACGGAACATTCATCATAGCTGCTTGTGATATCAGAGATGGTGAAGGCCATGTATATGTCGATAGACACAAGGAAGGGCTCATTGATCCATAGTCTGCATGAACTGGTGTGTGTCGTCCAGACCCATTTGATCCCTCTTTATCTCCTAGTATCAGTTTCGCAAACGTTCCTGGGAGAAATGGTTCAGAATCACACTGGATAAGACATGGAGCACCACAAAATTTAGCTAAAGTTGAATGTGATTCTGGATTGGCTGCTCTACACAAAAAATCAAATTAGGTTGACAATAAAAAATTACTGACATTAGTTCTGAGGAAACACAGAATTTAATATATAAGTCACGTGGTCAAACTAAAAATTACCAATAGAAATTACATCCTTAAGCATGAATTATTTACAGAAACTGAGAAATCAAACAAAAATTCAGCGAATGGTGAACGAAGCTGTTTTAGGGTTCACTTTTCTTCACAGGTCCTCCTGTATATTTGTAGCCCACCGCTATAGAGTATGATCTCTGGAAGTAGAAGTTATATGTATGCTGCTGCTATTTGATTATACATATCTTTGAAGCACTGCTGGTGTATGATAGTGCCACAAAGTAAGCAATATCCATATATTACGTGAAGTTAAGTAGTTTACTTATGTAGTATGCAATTCCGATTACCGCGTGCTTCGGTGTATTACGTTGGTAATCATTGAGATGGGACATACGATGTAGCCGTAGCCAAGACAAGCATTAGGCCATAGGCACTATTAGTTTGAACTGTGGTTTACACTAGGTTTTCCGCTTAGTAATAGCGAGCTAACCCCCGAAAACTTTAAGGATTGAGACTTGAAAATTAATTAAATGACAATATTTCATCACTTTTTCGTTAGCGATGAAGTACGTAGGTCTCTTCGGTTGCCTTGAATTTCTACGAACAATGAATAAAACGTGGCTCTGTCATTTTTTACTGGATTCCAGAAAACATTAATTTGTTTACAGCAAATAGTAATAGATGATTTGTAATTAACTATTTCGAACTTTTTTAGTAACTATAATAACGGATGACACAAATGATAATACAAAACCATCAATTAACTATTTTTAATTTACCAGAACTTACCTAAATCCTAGATTTTCGTGTAATTCTGTTATATAAACATACCCTTGCAATGTGAAAACCAATTATGAGTGGTCAACTTTATACGGTACGGTTTCAACTAACTACCATCATCAATATGCAACACAATATCATTTTCCGACCTTTGTGACCAGACGAAAATTTCAACACATAAAATTGTGGATTGAAGGTCTCGGGTTACTGATTGTCTGTAAATGTCCGATTTATTCTAGGGTTACAGATTATAAACAGCTTGTGGACTAGAATTACATCCATCCAAGTATCAGGTACGTATAATGTCGATAAAACAACTGACTTTAATACATTTCTGACGAAGTGAAACCAAGAAATTACACGAATACTTGAATATATTGTTAACTGTATACAAATATAGCACTGCACAGGAGTCGTATATCGGGGTGAAAATAGCAATTCTATTCAACATCAATGTTATTGACGTTGTTGAATTCGGTATCGGATTACCGAAGACTGTACTAACTCATTTGCTTAAGTTTATCAATCGTAATTATACTTGGTCGAAAACACTTGCGTTATAGCATAATTAATCACCACTCCATCGTATCTGTACATTGTTGCACAAATGAAAACGATTCGCATACAAGTCACAAGTAATTTTATTATTTCCATTTAAAAGTTCCAATAGAATGAACAGAATTAAAGTAAACAACGAAATAGAGAACTGTGATGTTCTACAGACAATGAACACTGCAGGTGAGGACTAAAAATTCCATCTAAAGTGCTAGGTAGCTCATAATACACTGAACTTACAATCGATACAAGTAAGCTGGAATGCAAATACTGTGACGATGAAGGATTCCTGGGATTAACAAATTATTCGATTCGACTAAGTTGTCCTTAATGAAGCCTGACGTCAAAGTACCCGCTTGAGATCGATCCTCCGTATGATCACACGAAAACTTGCCATTCCATGGAACTCGAATTTCCGTTACCTTGACAAGAGTTGAGCGATATGGCAAGACTACAGAACCAAGTCCAATTAAATGAGGCATGGCATGTGCAGTTGGTTTATCTTCTACACCAGTGTACTCCTGTAATGGGGCAGCAACCTGGAAGGGAAAGTCGATTGTTTTTAAGGTAACTAACTATATTTTTTTACAAAATACTAGGTAATAGCATGTAACTGTACAATACAGACACAAACATATTATACAAAGAAATACAAAACTACTGTTTAAACATACGCACCTACTAAATATCATCCAAGATAAGTAAAAACCCTTACCATTAATCCAGACAACGTAGCCGCTAAAGCTATATTACGCAGTCGTTATTAAAGATCATACGCTGCGATTTCAGCCTGACAAGTATATGGAGCAATCATGATCATTAGCCTAAATAAAACATAAGTCGTATGGCAGCTTACAAACACAGTCCGCACTTGAAAAACATCATAAGTGCGACATTACACTTGAATATGATTGATCAAGTGGTGATGATAGTTAAATGCGATTACAAAATCCAACGTTATAACCGTTAAGCAAACAAGATTCGAATTAATATTCCAATTTCTGCTAGGTTGTCTAGCTAATAACCCAATAAGAATTGCTAGTAATAGCAGTGTTGAAATAAATGTATGCCAAATGATAGTTTTGCAATAATGATAATAATCACAAGGATGTGAATGAATATACCTCGACATGTGCGAAGCCACCTTGTATGGTAAGAACTCGACCAGGCCACCACGCCCCAGGTGGACCACTAGACATAGTTTCTACAGAGTCGCTCGTTTCTACATCTGCTGTACTTTTTTTCTTTGCAGTTGAACCAGAATCTAGCCAGACCTCAACAGGATCTCTGAGTGAGAAGTTATGATTTGAATTATGAGGCGTTTCCCCATTTTCAGACGAACCAGATTGGACATCCAGCTTGTCGTTGATCGAAAACGCATTTGGGGCCAACTGAAGCTCGGAAAGACCAACTTTAATTGTACAGTGACTATATTTGGTAAAGGAAAATCATGATAGAGATACAGGTTTTAACAAACCACATTAAATAAAAATACTTATAGTTAACAGTAAATTTGATGAACTCGGTCGTAAGCAACGTAGAGACTTGTACGTACATCGGTTCATGTTGACATACCATATTACTACAGACATCCCATAGTAGTATGAGTAGTAAAGACGTTTTGAGAAAATATGGATTCGTAGGGAAAAAACATACAACACAGGAGCTTAGGATATAAGAGAAGATAGAGAATGCAGCTGCGCTATTGAAAACGATTTTGAGCAATTTCACCAAAAGTATTTAACCACTTGTTACGATAGCTGTGCAAAATACCAGGTAGTCTGGACTTACCTACACAACTTAGTTTAACAGAAAGACTATTTGAGCTGACGTCACGTTTCTAACTGGCCGCCCCTATCTGTTTTCTAACGCATTTCTGCACCATTAAGTATCAACCCTCTATGTACGCGGTGGTTAGACAGATATTACGATTGTTAAGTACCCTGTGTATAGCCAAAACGTAAATCAGTTATTCCATGAAAGGGGGGTTACCAATCAATAAAATCGAATGCTCCCTTTAAGAGAAATAACCACGGTTGGGAGTTAGCAGATGTGTCTGTGTTACAGAACATGACAAAGGCCTAATATTTAGTCTACAAATCCACGCTTAAGTCGGGAAGCGATCTGATTTTTCCGGGTTTGCTTTCTGTAACCCTCAACTAATCATTAGATTATTATTTGGGGTAAAATTTTAGACACCTACTTGAGTGAACGTAGTCCTGATACAATGCCTAAAGATTCGACCCAACAGTTATATCTTGATTGATTGAAGAATGCGTGGTCGAAAAGCCAGCTTCCTTGACTTGCCTATGACACTTTATCGTGCTTATTTTGTGTTTACATTCTGTATACAAGCACGTTATGTTATCACATAAAAAAATTATCTAGCTGGCTAATGATCTCGGCTTCAATGTCTAATTATTTGGAGGCCTAAGTCAATAATACGGTTTCTTGAGTACCCTTTGATCGGTCAAGTTATATCGTTGTGTTCAGTTATCGACTAGTATCTTAATAACTGATTTCGACAATCGGAAACTATGTCCATTTAGATCACATAAAACCTTTGTAACGATTTCTTAGTTCTTATGTACGCTCTTACTAACTCAATCGAGATCAGTCAACGATAACAATCCTAACCCTAAACCCTAACCTTATCCGTAAATCTAACCCTAACCCAATGGACGAGTTTCTATTCCATATGCATTGTGAATTCAGGACCTCTGAACCTTAATCAAACCTTAACAAGTTTTTAAATCATGTAAAAGGAAAATATCCACTGTAATTCATTACTTTCATATAATATATTTTTACTTTATATTAATTTTCTTCTGATTGGCTAATAATTGTCAAGGTCACTTAAGATTCGTTCAAAGGTCGTCCTTATATTCGAGTCTCGCCAACAGACCCCATTTTCGATGAGTTTTGCAGATAGATCTTCAACCTTCATCAAAAAGCACGGTGCTCAAACGTAGCAATCGTATAAGGTGCAATGATGAGATGAAGTATCCAGCATTTTATAAAATTGCCAGACCGACTGCCAAGCCCATCAACCATACATAAAGGTGTAGTTAAGGCATGTGTTACACAGATCTAGTCGACACATAACTTGGTTGTAATCCTAATTAGCATCGTTATAAGAGGGGGGAAAGTAGACACCAGCACATGATGCCAATCCCCCGAGACATCCAGTGATGAATGAAGTCAAGTCAGCACGAGCTGATTTTAGTAATCTTAAGTAGTGGATATAGTTTATACAATTTAACAGGAAAGCATGAAGATTAGTGATCAAAATAACCTCATTCAAAACGGAAAAAGAAAATTCCTACCGTGATGAAAATCCTGGGTTTGTACAGCGTAACGTGAAGTGCTTACAACAGGACTACAACGAATAGTGGTTAGAAGAGGAGTGTATACGCCTATACGACTATGGCTATAAACGGCCCCCATTTTCTACTGAAAAGGTTTTATCAACTAGCTTGACCGGACCAACATACTAAGTAATATTTCTACAAATGGAGCTATCAATCAACCATAATCAAGTATGGCAGTTTAGCAGTTAACACCTCTACAAATGAGTAGCAAACTAATCACTTGTTCAGAAAATTATTCTTTGGAAAAGTGCCCGCATGCATTGTTTAAATATTTATTGCTTTTGATAAGGACGGTATAAAACCACTTTTTCCAATACATTTACAATGAGCTACTTACTTTGCAGTATACCGTATTGTACACACCGTTTTTTCAATACCAACCAACAGTGCCTGGAACGAAAATCATATTAATTGTTTTTCACTACCGGAATCTTTTGGTGTTCGGATCCAATCTGTTCAACCGGGATAGTCAACTCCATCGCCAACTAACAAACAAACGAATAGGCAACGCAGTGGTCTTCAAGGTTAGTTATGGGAATAAAACAAACAAAACGTGAAACCCCTGGAGGGTATTTGCAAAGCCACTGAAACATATACTTTGAAAACAAACATAACTCAGCGACTAATGCTAAGAAAATTCAGAACCGAAGTCTGTCAAGTTTTTCAGTGTTGAGGTGGCGTAATTTTGTCTGAAAAATATAAACGAAACGTAAAATTAATAGACGTCGTTCAAAATAGTTCCAGTTGTCCAGATCTAAGGATAAAAACGGCACGTTAGGAACAACCGACTTCATTCACAGTCGTCACAACCTGCACTCAAACAGCCTAAGAGAATATCCTCGTACATAAACAACAGAACAAGGATGCATCATTGGATTCCCAAACTAATTAAAGAAGAGAATGAATCTGAAATAATGGAGGAGGATCAGTAAAAGGCAGAGGCTATGGATGACTATTTTGAGGCAGATTTCTTTCAGGAACCCCTTTCAGACAAAGAGCCTAACCCAAATAATAAGTCAGCAAACCACCTGCTCACCGTAGACTTTGATCAAGACGATTTATTTAAGGCTCTTAGCACTTTAGACATGTAAAAGTCAACAAGAACAGACGAACTACAGCCAAATATCTCGAGACGTACTGAACAATATATCTCGGCCCCACTGACTGTGATATTCAATATGTCACTTGACCAAGGCGTGTTACCTATAGACTGGAAGAACGCAATCGTAACTCCCGTACATAAAGAAGGACCAAGATAACTTTCATCGAACTACAGAGCTGTAAGCCTCATCAGTATTGTAGTTAAAATATTGGAAGAAATAGTCAGACAGACCATAATGACAACTGTGGAAAAATATAAGCTGTTAAACAGCGAAAAACATAGTTTTAGATAAGGGTTTAACTTGTACAACAAACTTCCAAATAGCAGGGGAATACTGAATGAAAGCGATAGGCAACGGAAAATCAGTGAATGTTGTCTTCATAGACTTCAGTAAGGCATTTGACAAAGTGCAAACAAACAGGCCGTAGTGATAGTTTATGGTCAGCCAAATTTGCTACATATCGTTCGACGAAGGTACGAGCCACTGTTTCAACAGTAATATACCTGATGGGTTCTGCTTCTGGCCATCGAGTGAGACGGTCTACGCAGGTCAAAGAATAAAAGTATCCATTAGAATATAGTAAAAGTCCTACCAAATCCGGACGAATATGGTCTAATCGATCATCAAGAGTTTTAAGTGGACCTAAGGGACATTTGCTGTGTCTACTCACCTTAGATTTCTGGCAGCTTACACAGGAGCGTTCGCAATTCCTCACGTCTTCATTTATATCAAGCCAGCGAAATCGTTCCGCTATGAGCTTGATGGTTGCATGAACACCTGGATGAGAAAGTTTATGCAACGTATTGAAGACGTTGCGTCGATGATGTTTCGGTAGGATTGGACGATTCCTACCTGTAGATGTGTCACATAATAGGGTTTCCTTACCTGTTCCCATCTTTATCATACGAGGTTTATGGTTCTTGAGGATAACTCGTGCTGAGGATCAATGTATTCTTTTTGAAGCTGAGTGAGTAGGAGAAGGTCGATCCCTTGAAAACTATTCAAGGAAGCTGTACGAGACAAGGCATCTGCGACTATATTGTTTGCTCCGGAAGTGCGTTGAAAATCTGAGATAAACTGCGAAATGTGGTCTAGTTATCGAGATTCTTGAGGCAAGTACTTGTCTGAAGATTAGTCTAAAGAGTAATTATGAGGTTTATTAACAGAAAAGAGTGAAATTTCGGCATTTGATGGAGTGTCGAAAATGACACCCAGCACAATACATAACTAGGAGTTCCCAACCGAATGTGCTGTATCTCGATTCAGTGTCTAGCAACCGTCTAGAGGGAAATGCCAGGAGTGGTTAACCCATTGTTGTAAGACTCCTCCGATTGCTGAGCCGGATGCGTCTACTGCCATACTAATGGGTGCTTGGGTGTCCTGATGTGCGAGCATGGTTGTCTTTGCGATAAGTCACTTAACCGTGGAGAAAACCTTTCGTGCGGTATCGTCCAAATTAATGGATTTTGGTTAGCGGTTTCGTAAGCGACGCGGGGTTCGGTATGAGTCGTCTATAGAAACTCACAAGGCCGTTAGACGTGCGTAATTGCTTGATGGTGGTCGGTTCTGACCAATCCAGAATGGCCGCCACTTTGGTTCTAAGGGGTCGAATGCCTTGCACATGTATAGTGTGTCCAAGGGAGTCGAATGAGTCAGTTCCGATTTGGCATTTCCGAATGTTTACAGTAATGCCATATTTTTGTAGTCCGTCGAAAACAAAATCCAGATGCTGGAGATGTGGTTCTTTGTCCGGACTTACTATTAGACAGTCGTCAACATACTCATGTACGAAGTTGAGACCTCGAAAAACGTCGTCTATGAACCTTTGGAAGGCTTAGGCAGCATTTCTTAGACCGAAGGGCATTCGCGAAATTCATAGAGTCCGAAGGGAGTTATGATAGCTGTTTTCGGTATGTCGTCAGTGGCCATGGGAATTTGGTTATGCGCTTTAACCAAGTCGATTTTCGAAAAGACAGTTGTACCTTTCAAGGTAGCTGTCAAATCGTGAATGTGTAGGATTATGGTCTACTATGATATTAGTACTGCTCTAATAATAGACCTAATCCTAAAATTGTAGATTTGTCATGATATAACTGCCTAATCTATAAGATCTTACGTGGAAGTCACACCATCGTCTACACCAACTCACTGTATCGTATCAATTACCAATACATGATGTAGAACAAGGTTAGGCTAGAGGAGGAACAATATATTTAATATGAATAAAAGATATAAGGTAATATTCAGAGGGACCACGCCTGCATGGCTGAGCCATGCCATCCGATTAACTTCAATTCATTCAATTCCTTGTTCGCGCCTTCGCTATCGTTAGGTATTTCTCCGCGTTAAATATTGAATATCTATTTTCTGAGTGGTCTTGTGTTCAGCTTTGAGGATTGTGTGGTTATTGTCCAATGCCACTACAAATGTGAGGCAATGAGTAAAGATCGGGAAGGTTTTTCGCATTCAATCGCCGATAGTCATCAGTTGGACGCCAATCGTTGCTGTCCTTTTTAGGGATAATGTGCAGCGCGGATGCCCATGGGCTGTTTGACGGTCGAATGATTCCCAACTCTGTCACGTGGTCAAATTCGTTTTTGGCCAACCTTAGCTTTTCAGGAGCTAGTCGGCGTGCTTTCGAGAATACAGGAGGTCCTGTAGTCGTGATGTGATGTGAAGCATTGGTGGTTACTCACGGTAATTTTGGTTGCGGTTGGTATATCCTAGAATATTTATGAAGTAATGATTGATGGAATGGGTCTATCGCGTGCTTAATTGTGACTGGAGATAATCTGCAACCAGAAAAGGAAGTTACGCAAACAGATAAATCAGTGTTTCCATCTACTAGCCTCCGTTTGAGCGTATCGATGATTAGATTGTGGTGCTGTAGTAGGTCCATACCAATGATTGTCAAAGAAACATCTGCAACAACAAAAATCCAGTGTATGGGTTTGCGTCAACCCACGTTAGAGTAAACGTATCTTTTACCGTATGTGGTGATAGGCTTTCCGTCTGCCGCCTGTAAATTTAAAACCAATTCGTGAGGTGGGTCGTTAGAATTTGCAGGAAGAACGCTAACTTCTGCGCCAGTATCGATGAGGTAGCGGACTCTCGTTGTCACATCTGTGACGTATAACAGGCGGCTATGTTCGCCGGCTACGGTTGCCGTTAACGCGTGCTGGCTTAATAGTTTCTCGAAATGTTTTTCATGTCGGTCGATTTTGAGTTAGGAAAATTGCAGGATTTTCTGCAAATTCTGGAGGACTTTCCATGTTGGTTATGATACCAGCAACAGTCAAGGTTATCAGTCTCTCGTGATCTGGAAACAGATCGCCTACGTGAAGTGACTCTTCTCGCGGTGTGCGGCCGCTTACGGCCGTTACGAAATTAAGATAACGCGAAAGGGTATGACATAACTCTGTTTTGTCATTCTGGGTCGTTTGAAGCTTTTCTTTGACCGACAAAACCTCGGTATTAGAAGATTTGGTGATTTCTAAGATGCGGTCGGCAGACGCAGCCAGCTCGTCTAAGGTGTTGTTTTGAAACGAGACCAGCACAGCTTGCACCTGTTGAGGAAGTTTGGATAAGAAAGTCGTTTAAGTAGGCCATCATCGTAGGTTCTTTGGCCGATAACCTCTCTCATTCTTTCCAACATGTCTGTCGCAGAACCGTGTTGCAGGTCGATATTATTAAGGAGTTGGTGTAAACTTTGTCTATTGGTTAGGTCTCCGCGTTTAAGGATAGATCGTTTGAGTGTTTCATAGGGTTCCGAAACATCACTAGTAAACATACTAGGTGTTACGTACCTGTTGAGTTCGCGCGGTGGTGCCTTGACTACTGCGAGGAATTGTACACGTGTGTCGATCACGCCGTGCTCGTAGAAGTCGGCTTCTGAGTATCAGAACAAGGCTTCGATGTTGTCTAGCCTGAAGGGGATCAGTTGAAACGAAGGTGGGGATATAGTCTTTAGCTTGAGTACCTTGGGTGTCTGTTCAGTCATAGTGAAATATCAAGTACGAGAATGAACGAGTGAAATATATATATCCAAGAACACGGTGAAAAATATCACGATGTATAAAAAATTAAAACAAGGCAATGATATATAAAATCCCAAAAGGGAACAGACTCACAGTTTGCAATTTGGTGTACCAGATCACGTCGGGCTCACCAATGAAGATGCCACAGGTATTCGGAGTTTGACAACGCTTTAACCAGTAACACCTAATATGAATCGTACCCACCAAGTGAAATCGAAAGACGGAAGCGAGAAGGTTCGAAGATATATTTGATGGGCTATCAATATATCGAGGGTCGTCTGATCTAATCTGGCTAGCGATTACAGGGGTTGTTGAACACGGCGTTCCCACTCGTGATCT